TTTTAATTTATGCTTTTTACCGTATTCAGTTATTCTATGTTGTGTTTCAAGGACGTTCATTAAATCTTCACTGTGAAAGTATTGAAACAAAACCTGCTCTTTACCAGTGTTCACTTTCATTTCTCTTCCTTTATGTATTTCTTGACTGGCAACCAGATGCTATCAACATTTATTGAAGGTGACCAGGTATACACCCTTGAAAAAACAGTCACAGAGTGTTTGTTTACATTGCATTTTGGCGGCAACGTAAATTTGACAAGTGTTATAGAGGCAAAAATTGGTGTGTGGAAAAGACAAGGTTTGTCGCAAGCAAGGAGGTATGTGAAATTTGATGGATGAGTAAATGGAGACGCTTTATGGCGCACTTGCGCATCCAGAAAATGAAAATGGGGGCTTCGGTTTTTCAGTTCCGTGAATGAGAAATCAGCAGATCTTTGAAGCCAATTCTGGCTTCAATATTTGCCTTCTACGCTTCCATTTTTCAATGTTTGAAGCCAAAACTGGCCTCAAATTTGAGGCCGTTTTTGGCCTCAAAAATCGGGTCGGTCTCTATGGTTTTCAAGCGTGCTCTGGGATTTTTTTGTGTCTGCGCCCATGGAGCCCACAGGAAATTGGCAAAGTTTGATGCCCAAGGTTTGGTGTAGAATGATGGTTTGCTGGCTTCAGACTGAACCATCCAACCACAAACCTGGAAAGTCACCTGGCTCAACCAAAGCTTTAGCTGTGTTTGCTTTGGTCGGATGACGTGCAGAAGCCACTCGTTGGAACTGCAGGGGCACATGAACCGGTCTCGGAATTTCTGTCGTGTTTTTGACGCTAAAGTTGGCTTCGAGGAAAGAAGCAAGTTTATGGGTAGTTTCGATGTCTAGCATAGGTACCCTATAGCAAAATTTAATGTGTGAGGTGGAACCACGGAGGTAGTAGGTGTTGGGTGAGTTAGGTGTGGAAGTTGTGGGGCGGTTGTGAGGGATGTGTCAAAAGCGCTATCTTTGCCAAGTCACCCACTTCCTTGTCATCTTTTTCAATAGCTGCCCCCCCTACCCCCTAGACTCCTAACACATGAACATGTTGCGAGGGTTTTAGAAGAGACGTGGAGGAGTGAGTTCCCTGTATTATATAGTAGTATATATTTAAAACAGGGTGGAGGAGTAACTATATATGGGGGGAAACAAGCGGAGGAGCATTACACTCCTCCACATTTTGTTGTTGTGTAAGAGAGATCATTCCGTTTCACAAACTGTTTTTGGTGTTTGTCTTGAGTAGAATTTAAGCGGAGGAGCGGAGGAGTGGTTGCGAAGATGTCAATTTTGGGTGTGGGCATGGGAATTTCATGATTGGTAGAAGTTTCGTTGACACCGCTTCTGGCCTCAAAACAGCTTGCAACTCTTTAGACCAACCAGAGTACCCCCTCAGAACTTCCTTGTAGATGTCCATATTTATGTTTGTTAGTAGCACTGATTTGCTACTACCAGACGGACCGATTATGATTGATCTAAAGGGCACTTTAGAGGCAACAGCATATTTTGATCGAGTGAATTCATAATTGATTTCTTTGATAGGTTGAATATGTGGTTCTGTGTTATTATTCATCCATCTATTAATAAAATTACATAGAAAATCTTATTAAATATTAGCAGATCTCCCATGGACAGAGTGCGGTAGGTGAGGCTACGCTAATCCGCATAAGTCGGTAATTAGTTTGCTTTTCAGCAATGGATTTTTTGCCCTTACAGTTGAATTCGTTTTTAGTGTTCTCCCAAGCGCTACATAATTAGATGGTGTTAAAACATTATTTAATTATAGTTATATATTATGACGCTATCTGAATATGATGCTTATATAACAGGAAGAGATGATATGGAAAAAATGATAGTGCTAAATATCCAAGTTTTAAAGATAATAAATTTAAGATGTCAAAATTGATAATTACTTATCTAAAATGTAATATACATGCCACCAAGAAAAACAAAAAAAAACAAAGATGAATAAAATACAAATCCCCGAAGAGTTTGAACTATCAGATGAAGAACCAACAACAATAAAACTAGATGAAGAACAAAAACTAACAAGCAAATTCATTACCTTTGACTGTCCTTTATGCCAGGGAAAACTACAACTGAGAAATGAAATTGAAATCGACACTAAAGGCAAAAAGTGTAAGTGTAATCCATATAGCTTTAAAATCAGCAAGAATGATAAGATAAGACTATGAAAATTTCAAAAGATGATGGTGGATCTATTACTTTAGATAATATTGATAAAATTGATGAGCTGATAAAGAAAATGAACAGATATAATAATAGTCTTAAATTGATTTTACAGTTCTTAAGTAACATTGATGAAAAGACTAATGAAGGAGCATCTGAAAAGAAAAGCATAGGTAGACCAGTAGGGGACTTTGAAACTAAAAGGAAACAATATATAGAAATGTTGAATTCCATAATAATAAAACAACCTAAAGAGACCACCATACAATATTACAAAATTGATTAAGATGAAGATACTGAAACATACTCATGATAATATATTTTCTACGGCAACATATTTTTATGAAATTGTAATAACTATATATTTTCAGGCACAGGTAGTGTTGGAAGAATTGCTAAAGAATTTGGTTATACTATTATATCACTTGATCTTAAAAATGCTAGTATCAATGAACAACGACTTTGATGTTACTTGGTCATCCCCGCCTTGCACTGAATACATCATAGCAAAACAAACAGGCACTAGAAAAATTGATGAAGCAAATGAAATAGTGAAGAAAGCTATTGAAATAATAAACTATTTTGATCCAAATGTTTTCGTTAAAAACCCCCCCCAGACCGGACTTTTGAAGGAGCAAGAATTTATGAAAAAAATCGTTTTTTGATATTGATTATTGTAAAGATGGAATGGCGTACAAAAAACGCACCAGACTTTGGACAAATATAGAAACTTGGACACCTAAACCATTATGTAAAAAGAACTGCGTACAAATGGAAGGGAATAGGCATAGGGAAACGGCACAAAGGGCACCTAGCAATAGGAAGGAAACATGGCCTGAAAATTTGAAAGCTATACATTATTTAATCAGAAGGAATTATACATAATCCCAGAAGGGTTGATCAGATAAGTATTTATATAATGCCTATAAATTAGATATTTATTATTCTAATTTTTTCTATGAGAGACCAATGGGGGATGTTCACCTGACCAATACTTAAAGGGATAGTAGCAATAGGTACTAAGGAGATGAAAGGTGCTAAGTTTGAGAATGTGTATTGTCAGGTGTGTGAGTGCAATGTGAGGAAAAGTGGATGGGGGAAGCATGAGAAATTAAATACGCATATTGAGAATGCTCAGGGTGGAGGTGAGGAAGTGGAGAAGAGAAGGTGTGGACAATGTGGATGTAATAAGGAATTGGGAATGTTTAATGAAAAGAATGCGACTTGTAATGAGTGCTTAGACAGATGGAAAAGGTGGGTGGGGAGGAATGTTGCAAAGAAGAAGGAGATTAATAGAGTTTGGAGAGAGGAGAATAAGGAGAAGAAAAATTGATATGATCGGGAATATAATTTGATTGAGATGTGGTGTGAGGTATGTGCGTACAAGGTGAGAAAATGTAAATGGAGAAGACATATTGAGAGTAGGAAGCATAAGATGGGTGGGGAGTGGGGATGATGGAAAAGATGGTGTGGGGGGAGATGGGGGAAGGATGGTTAGGTGAACATCCCCCCTTGGTCTTCCCCTACTAAGATATCTGAAAATGGAGAGAATATCGGATTCGCTCAATAGGATTACAAGATCATATCTTCTTCCGTATTTCAACACCAGTGGAGGCCGATCCTTCCAATCATTCATGTGATCCATAGAAATGTATTTAAATCGCATTCTTAACTATTGTATTTGGCCCTGGAACTCCCCCACAACTACGTTAAACAACATCTATTTGATCGGGGGTCTTGTGGAAACTACTAATTTCTGCATTTATATAATAATAAAATTTTATGGTACATAAAACCTTTTTTTCAAAAAAATAATCAAACAATACGAAATAATAATATAATTCCATTTGCTAAATTGTTTTTTTTACAATATTCAATTTACAATTGCTTTTTGCAAAGTAAAAAAATAAATATAATTCGATTTAATAGAATAATTCAGTGGCATCCGGCTATTTAAACATTTTAAATAATTTTAAAATAAAAATAAAAATATACAATCAAAATCGGTTTATATTTTAATTTACAAAAGCCTTTTGTAAATTAAAAAATTGAATAAAATATATCAATATCTATCTATGTTTTAATGTGTAAAAACCCTTTATAAACTAAAATATTAAAAATATACAATTCTAATTAATAAAATAATTAAGTAGCATCCGGTTATTTAAAAATTTAAATAAATTATTTAATATAAATATATATTTAATCAAATAATATTATAAATCAAAAAATAAATAAACAAAAATTTATTAATTTTTAATTTATAAAAATCTATTATAAATTTAAAAACCACAATTATAATTAATAAAATAAATTCAATCAATAAATATATTTATATATTTTAATTTTTTAAAGACTTTTATAATAAACAAATAAAATAAATATATATCGATTTAATTCATTTAATTTTTTAAATATTCCATAAATAAAAAAAAATTTATCAATTTCTAAACATATATTTAATTTATAATTTTAAAAAATTTTTATAAATTAAAATTAACTATTTTTAAAAAAAATATTTATTTAATTTTTTAATTTATAAAATACATTTATAAATAAAAAAAATTAAATCGATTTTAATTTATGGTTTTAAATATTTTTATTTATTTTATTTATTTTTTTATTTATTATTATATTTATTTTTTTTTTGAAATTTAAACAATAATTAAATTATATATTTTATTTTAAATAAATAAATTATCAAAATCTATCCTATTTAAATTAAAATTAGAATATTATATATTTATTTCTTTTTACGAAATAATACCTAAAAAACCTCGATCATATATATATATTTTTTAAATATTACTTATCATTATATATATAATAGAATATTATTTATCTATTTATTTATCGATTCAATTTCATGTTGTTTGAATCGACACCTGCGATATAAAATGATATATATAAAATTCAGAATAATTTGATTTCCATTACAAATATCAAATTGTCAAATACGTAAGAAAACCGGGTATATGCAAAAGAATGGTCAATAAACAATTTTGATCCTTGGAAATTGTTGCCACCTGTTTCGTTCATCCCTTTGCCTGGAACATAACGGCTGTTTCGACGCCTATGGACTTTTTACAGTCATCAAGCATCAACCAATTTCCACCATCGACAAACGACTGAGGAAAGTCACAAAAACATGGAAAAACATATTAACAAAGCCTTCACCAGAAGCAGGAAAAAGATCTGGTGGTTCAATATTTCATTGTCTGAACACTTCCTTGATTCTATCTGAGAATCACCAATCGAAGAAACATCTCTCTTCTCCATCTCCCACCTTAGAAACTCGGCAGCCTCATCTGTGAGCGTGACCTGAACAAAAAGAAACTGCTGTCGGTAGAGCTGAAACATCTGCTCAGAACTCGCAACTTTGATAAGATCGAATAAATGTCAAGCGATTTCCAACATCGAAACTGGTGTGAGCTTGGGTTGACATGACTTGAAACTGCTGGCATAAAGCATTCAGCCAAATGACTTGGACGTTATTCATGACGCTCTGTGACGAAATTCCCTCCCGCGCCAGAATAGTATCATCAGAATGGTATTCATTGATTCATCATTGAACCCAACATGCCACGAATTTGGCAGTTATGGAACACTTCCCGTTGTTTGGCCTGTTTGGGGCCGTTGTTGGGCCTGTTTGGGGCCGACTTGGCACCAACTTGGGCCTACGTTAGGGCCAGCATGGGACAAGTTTGGGAGCCCGTTTGGGATTGATGTTTGGTCCAACATGCAACTTGGGTCTGTTTGGGTCTCAAGTCGACGCTAGCATGAACACAACACGGGGAACTTGACCTGGACAGTGTTCCATCAATACAAACATTAGGGATCAAACTGGATGTTTTGGGGCAACATCTTCGGAACATGGACTCATGTTGGGGTACATCAGGCCCAAGTGACCCAGAAGTTGCGCCGAAGTGAGGGTCATCTTGGGCCAAGTTGAACCATGCAAAACAAAACATGCACCCCCCCCACCTAAAGCTAGCAAAGCACATCAAAGCACACTACGTGCGATTGGGCCGGTTTCTTTCCTTACAAGTTTACTACTCCCCAGCACCTTCACCACTCGGTGTCGTTTCTAAGAATCAAATGTCCAACAACATCTCAAAGCCACGTTGTTGAGAACCTCTGTTACCCTATCCGCAGGTTCAAACAAACCCAATAAATCCAAAAACACATCCTCCGTGGGTCTTTGGACTCTTCCGCCACACGGCTGAACCAGTGTTCTCCGCGGTCCCGGATGCGACCGCGGCACCACCCGCTTTTCGGATTGAAGCCACAAGCCCCACTCCTCAACGGTTTGGAACATCCGTCGATTTCTAACAGCGGGCCAAGCCGCTGATTGAAGCGCTTCAACGAAAACAAACAATATGAGTCAGTGGGATCGATATGATTCAATATGGATATCAATATGGATCAATCATCTCAAGTAAACGCCAGGCTGCTAGGTTGAAGAATATCTGAAGACACCACTCAGCTGGGCAAGTTAAGCTGCTGATGGACTCTTGCTGAAGGGGCTGACTTGAGAGGAATGCTCCGGGGCAAAAATATTGCGCGTGCTTAGTAAGTAGCTCGCTTCAGAGGAGGCATCCAGCTAGCTCGCGAGTGGCCCGGATTCATCCAAGCGACCAAAACAAAAACACAAAACTATAGAACCGGATAACCCCACATGTTAACTTCACCAGACACAGGGGCCGACAATTGAAGGTTGGTGGGTGGCAATTGGTTGGTGGCAGTTGGTTGGTGGCAACTGGTTGGTGACAATTGGTTGGTGGCAGTTGGTTGGTGGCAGTTTGTTGGTGGCAATTGGTTGGTGACAATTGGTTGGTGGCACTTGGTTGGTGGCAGTTGGTTGGTGGCAATTGGTTGATGACAATTGGTTGGTGGCAATTGGTTGGTGGCAATTGGTTGGTGGCAATTGCTTGGTGACAGTTGGTGGGTGGCAATTGGTTGGTGGCAGTTGGTTGGTGACAGTTGGTTGGTGGCAATTGGTTGGTGGCAATTGGTGGGTGGCAGCCCTGGAGTGCACCAAGTGCTGCGCCTGCCACGCAAATCACAGCACCTGCAACGCAATTCACAGCGGCACAGCGGCGGAGACCCAGCCGCGCCAGGGCGTACATCTGACCCTCTGGAGTGCACCAAGTGCTGCGCCTGCCACGGTTGGTGGCAATTGGTTGGTAGCAATTGGTTGGTGGCAGTTGGTTGGTGGCAGTTGGTGACAATTGGTGGGTGGCAATTGGTTCATGACAATTGGTTGGTGACAATTGGTTGGTGGCAATTGGTTGGTGACAATTGGTGGGTGGCAGTTGGTTGGTGGCAATTGGTTGGTGGAAAGCGGGCGGCGGGAGGAGGAGGAGGAGGAGGGCGGAGCGGATACAACACTAAAAACAAAAAAAACATACGTCAATGTGGGGAACAAGTTCTTCACCAAGTAACCAGGCATCCCAGCAATCATTCATTACACTTCTTCTTTCTTCTACTTGTTTAACGTTTGAACTTTGCCCATTTGGAAGGCCAGAACATCTGACAAGATCCCCTCCTCATCAGACTGCAGAGTGCTGGCATCGCCCACCACAATGAGGCCATAGCCTCGGCACATCTGTGAACACGGCGATGTCGCCATCGTTCGCCATGGTTCGTGCGGGACGTGTGATGAAGTCGGAAGTTGGAAGGGATTTGAAGGGGAAAATGCAGGGAGTTAGAGATGGATAGGGGGGGATCTATTCCGATGGATATATAAAAATGATGAAACAGGCATCAACTTGCATGATGGGAGTCAAAACCAACTCAGAAACAGCACAACGCATCAAGAAAAAACATCCCCTCATTGGATGAGTTTGCTTTCTGAATCTTTCCAAAAGCTTTAAGGTGTCGAGGACACTGCTCTCACTGTCAATGACCAATGATCAATCACAATCATCCACAATCTGTTTTTTGGATTTGGGTTCTTCAGGGGTCTCTATCGAGGACTTCCTTTCTTGGCATAAATCGACATCTGCCCTTCTTGGACGCAAAACACCGATTACTGTGGCGATGTAGGCTTCAAGAGTGTGAGTCCAGTGCATGCTCGGCTACTCATGACTCATGAACCACAGACATCCTAACCCTGTCAACTTCATGCTCCTGTGTCTCTGGAAGTTCAGATCATCTCCACAGATTCCAACACTTCGTAACTCCAATTGTACCATAACAGCAAAATGCAGGGGGTTACCGGGAGATGGTCCAACAAACGTGTGCTTGGCACAGTTATTACACTATACCAGTAGAGCTCCAATTGCTTCCTCAGGTGGTTGAGCCTTCCAAGCCCCAGTCCCACCTTCTCAGGAGGCAGTTGGAGCCCAAGGACTCTTATATTCCATCTTAATGAATCTAAGTCCAAGCCTTCTCTATATGATTGGTCTTATGGACCTTGAACTGGTTGACACCTGCCTACTTACGCCCCTCCAGGCTCGATTCTTGCCCGGTCACGCGCACGTGTGAGGAGCACGTTCAAGCGCTGGCGCTGTCCCAGAAAGCCCGTGAGGCCTGTGGGATTGCTCCGCACCTCGAGCGAGCACGGCTCGCGGCACCAGCACCGCCAGGCTAGCACGGCCTCTGACTCGACAGGCGGGTGGCTTGTAGAGCAACTAGGGAAAGCAAGAAATTGGAACATACATCGCACCAAAAACCATCCCAAAAACCCATGGGTTGGGGGTCTCCCAACATGTCAAGCCGTTTGGACAGCTTGAACATTCAGGAGGGAGACTGACGCCAGGTTGGTGGGCACACCCGGTGTCACATGATGAGAGAAGACTGCACTTACATCCGCATGCGACAGGTGGACACTCGGCGCATGTACCCCAATCTGGTGTTGTGTCTGCAGAAGGCCGCTTCTCTGGCTGCCCCCGACCGCACTGAAGATGATGTAGTCATTCTCGTTGCCCTGGAGAAAGTATACTTTCCACAGAACAACCCACTTGAAGTGGCTTGGGTGTGACTCTCACTTGGCAGCAGGTTGGAACTTGCAAAACATGAGGCTGAAAGGAAACTTCAGTCTCTGATGATTGAATCAGCTACGACTGCCGGATGGTGCATCCCAAAAGGGATCCAAATGACGGAGCAAACGTCAGGTCGCTCTGACATCTGGACTCTACGCTGGTGAGAGCGGCTTAGCCTGGAAGCCATCCACGGTGAAGGAACGTGGATACCTGAGCTTCGGTCAGACGCCGAAAGGACTCGAGGTCAGTACTGAGGTCACACTGGCAGCTGAGAGGTACCTGAGAGGTACCAAAAGCATCGAACACTGAGCCTAAGAACTTTGAAGCTTGTACACTTGCTCAGGCCAACCTCCAAAAGATGGGTCAAGGATACATGGGAAAAGACACAGATCGGAGTGAGGAGCCACAAAACAACATGTGTCCACCTTGTGCACCGGGAAAACACAATAACCAGGAGTGCAGATTCCTGGATATATTGTTTGGTTCTCTATTGAGGTTCATGTGGCTTTTTGAAGGAGTTGAAAAGCATAACGGTTAACACTTACAGCTCACATGTACAACAAGATCGCATGGTGGATCTCCAGCTTCCCACATGTTGCGAAGCACCCAGTGGATGGCTCTTCCGATGTCGGGGCAACATCGGATCCGCGAAAGCCCGAAGCCACACTTTGTTGCAGATGCCCTTTGTTACTAGTAGCATTCTTGTTCCTAGTAGTAGTGGCCTCCAACCTTTATGAGCGATGGCTTCCACCGTGCGTAGCTTCTTGTTCGTTAGCGGGTTTGGCTTTTGAAGCCGAGGAGTCCGCGAGACGATCCCCAAGTCTCGTGGATCCCTCACGTGGAGTATTCCGATCCTTCGTGTGTAGGGCATTTGTCTCAGCACACTTATCAGTCTTATCAGTCTCAACATGTGGCAGTGGGTCAAAACCCGGAGCCCGGGTAACAACGATAGGGGTGACTTCCCTATCGTTGTCTATTCTGTTCGTTTGTCCGTGGTCAAGCAGGGTGTCCCGGTGCGTCTCAACCCATAGCCATGTCTCAACCAACCTACTCCTCCAGTCCCAAGTGCGGCTCATCCTCCAAGGGGTCCAGCCCATGCCTTGGCGGTCGAGGGTAGGGATCGATGATCGCTTCGTTCACGGCTGCTACGGTGTGCAGTCAATCCATTGGGCTGTTGCATCGGGGTTTGGGAAATGAGTCAGATCACCCACAGTATTGGTATGGGCCAAAGATCTTGATTTGATGAAGGACAGCATCGTCAACTCCTTTCAGTTCATAGATCTTGCTTTTTAAGCGTCACATTTAGATTGTTTATGATTGTTTGGGTTGGATGTGTCTCCCTCTCGAAAGAGAATTTACAGAAGGGTGGAAGTTGATTTGTGCTTCACCGGCTCCTTTTCATCAGTTGATTCTCCAAGTTCTGTGGTCGCATTGGTTGGCTCTGTTGCCCACCAACGCTGCGGTCGACACGTGCTTCAAGACCCTGCAAGCAGACCTCCGACATCGTCCGACCAAATCCTGCAAAGTGCAGGTCGGAGATAAAAGAGATTCCTCTGTATTGACGATTTGTATTCATCCAAAAGCTTAACTGAACGACCTAGAGAACTTCTCTCTCTGAGGCCTCTTCAACAACAGCTGAACAACAGGCAGGCCTCCTAAACCACTGGGCGAACTGCACCCTGCAGGTGACCCGACCAGGGCCTCTGGCTGCCTGATCATCATGGACCTCCGCCGACGCTGCTGTTCCAGCTCCAGTACTTTCTTCCCATGCAGCACCTGGCGAAGATGGTTTTGACCGAGGCAACAAGCGGACTTCTTCTGTTGTAAGCCAAGCAGCAAAATGCTTCGGTTCGCAACATTCACCGGCGTTTCTCCATGTTGGGCGTCGCAAAAAGACATCGGGAAGTCTCCATCCCTCTCCGAACAGATTAAACAGCAACCAAGATCGACTTCTGGGAAACATCAAGTTGTCTCTTGTGGACTCTTGCGGCAACTCAAGTTCAGATGAATAAGATCCTGAAGCCGCCGAGTGATTCTTTCCAGGTAAGACTCGTTTCCCTCATCTCAAGCAGCGCACGGTTCCCACCGGGTTGTTGAGAGTTGAGACATGCCTCTGCCAAAAGGTTGATCTGAGCACCATAGGCGGAGATCACCTCGAGAATGGCTGAGGAATTTCAACAATTATTCACATGATTGACTGGTAACAAGCATCGCCGTTTCATCATACTGACAATTTAAGCCTGATTCCTCCAGTATATGGCAAGATAGCAAGAAATATACACTATATAGTCTATACATGTCTAGAGTCTATAGTATACTTACTCATAAGACATTTGGCAAGTATTCGGCTCTGAGGATGCTTTGTGAACTTGCAGGCCACGTTAGACCCTCTTTGAACTCATTCTCCCAACAATAATACCACAGGAGATCACAGGAGACATGCAGGCAATCTAGGCTCAGGAAGAACATGAACCACTACTACCAGCAGCTTCATTCTGCACCTTCGCAAGTTACATAGTGTAACAAACCCACTGATGTTGACGACGACTCTCCCGCAAACTAACGTGGAACCCAAGAATTGACCACTGAAAGACCATTTTCCTCTACAACCGAGTGGTTTTGGGGTTCCATGTTGATCTGCTGCGTATGTATCTGCTCAACCGACCGTACCAAGCACGCGCCACTCACGACATGGGGTTCCCCCGACACTCACGGCGGAGGTCGGCTGCACCTGGCGGTTTTTGTGATGCGTCGCTTTTTCTAGTCGGCTCTACCATGAACAAACCATGCTGCTCCTTTTCTGAAATAAGCCTTTCCACCCAAAAAAACAACAAAAAAGTACGTGTATCACCTTTCAGTATACCAGTCCTAGCACGGTATAGCAGAAATGTTCATTTGGGAAGTCTGGATATGTTCATGAACGCGCTGCTGAGGTGTGCCGGCTATTGACCTTGCGAGTGTCAGTTGAAGGTTGGGTTGGTTAACCAAACCATCCGTGTGATACGTTGAGATATCAATGGATTGGCTGTGCAAAATAACGAACATCCCCTCAATCCCCTCCAAATTGAGCATATGTGAGCAATACGTCGCGAGCATACACCCAAGGACGAGAACATCGATAATTATATTTAAGCAACATATGTCTTGACGATTCTTGACGTTCTGCAGCTCTGCAGCCAGGCTTTTTCATGATCTGCCCATACAAGTATATACCCCATGATTTTCGGTGCCAAGAACAAGCTTACTCAGCTGGTCCGCTGGGCTGTCGACCCGAACAGCAGCTTTCAGTTCACCCGGTCAGCCAAGACAGAGTTGAAATGACATTATAAGCTCTTTCTTGTAGAGGAACATGTCACTTACCAGGTGTTTTCATCTTAGGCCAATCATGCAAAACACAGCTGGCCCGCACTTGGGTCGCCCAGGCTGCATCCATGATGCTTTCACTTTTCTGGTCTAGACATATTGCAACCAAAAGAGCATGCATCTTCTTTGTCGCCTGCTCCCCATCTCTTGTGTGCGTGGTTGAAACTCTTTGAGGTTCAACGGTCGACGTATCCATTCAAAGCCTTAAAACCATCACGCCTTCATTAGTTGATGATCGGTCCCTCGCGTCGTCAAACATACGGAAACAGCCTCCAGGCTTTGCAGGAGAGCGGCGACCTCGGCGTCACAATGAGCAAGCACCCAGGTGGCGACTTCGCCGAGAAAATGGTGCGACTTCGGTCGTGAGTGGGCTCTGTTTGAGCCCTCAAATCACAAGCCAAAACCCGGCTTCGCCGGATCCATCATACTGCCGCGCTAGGCCAACATGACTCCAACAGTTCAGTGAGGGAGAGATGACTACAGTCACTGAATGAACTTCTCCGGTGCATTCCTATCTCAAGCAACACGTGAACGGCGTTTCTTCATAGATCATTACATAAAACACTGTAACATTAAAAGCTTCCTGACATTTCCTGACTAGATTTTGGATATTTTGGCAATCCTTATTTTAAAACCTCAGAACTGCAACACCCTTTTCCACCTGAATTTAAACCTTCCCACTGTGATCCAGCAGCTAAACATCCAGCTGAGCCCCGGTGCAATCTGAGCTTCCAAGGGGTTCTGCAACGACAAGCTCCCCGCGCGACGGACCTGGAGGTGATCCACCGCGTCTGTAAGAGACGCATTCGTTTCATGGAGCCAGCTGAGAAAACAAATACATTTTGATGAAGATTTCGAAAGCAACAATGGCTATAGCAGGTACTACCACTTGATTCCAGGTTCACTATCAAGATCTATCAAATTGTTTGCTACACTTCAAGCCTGAAGAAGAACTTCTCCGCTTACCGTGGTTTTGTGGGTTGATTGGCGATCTGGCAAACTCCGGGCCGGTTCTTGTGGGATGCGGAATCTGCCTCTTGTGGGATCCAGCGGCTTTCACAAAGACACAAGTAGCGCAACCTTGCTGCTTCGTTCACTGATAGTACTCAAGCCAGCATAGGCCCGGCAGGGTTGTGGTGGTTGTGCCCATTGTACATGTGAACCCCATAGCTCACACACACACATGGGAACAATTACAGTGTGAACTGCCCAACCCTGGCTGATTGACCTGCCCAGCTGTGGAGATGCATCAGCTTCATTCAAGCCCCAAGTAGTTAGAATCTGCGGAGCAAGTATCTTCCAATCCGGCGGATTTGGAACTTGTAAGAGTAAATGAAGGTTGAGACACTCCCAATAAAGGTTCAATCACCTCTGAGTCCAGCAACAATCTCTTCATGGAAGTTCTGGCCCGAGGTGTCCTGCACTCGAAACTGTGAAAGTAACGAGCTGGTGTGGTTTTGCAGGAATCGCTGGAAGGCTTCTTTGCTTCCTAATTCGCTACCAACGACTGATCTGTATCTATTGGCAAATCTCACCCAGCCTGTGCTCATAAAGAGCCCGCCACCATCCATCGCATCGATGCAGGTCGGGCGTGTGTCAAAATGAAGGGACCCCACAACATCGCTGGCCAGTTGCAAAATAAAAAACATGTTCATCCTTTAAAACATGTAGGTGGAAGGCCCTGGAAGTTTAATTTCACCATTCCACAAGCCTACGAGTCATCCCTATTGGCGGCAACCTGATTCTAACTTTAACAACTTGAAAAGTAAACGCTCCCGAGGATTCGATGACTCCATTCATCCGTTATTCCATTTATATAAATGTTCGCAACGTTTTCGCCTGGCCTTTGATCTACATCCCGAGTGAATTTGGAGCCCAAACCAGGTGAAAACACACAAACCACCCTGAACAAACAAGCCAAATCAGCAAAACCTTCACCCATCAAGGCAAGTGCCCCACCCAGCTTGCGCCAGCTTGCATCCCAGCCCTCCACCCACTGAGACCCAGTTCTTCGGTCCACAAAGATCACCGGATGCTCTGGAGGCCCTTCCTGAACGAAAACGACGCTTCTTCGGGCGGGCTTCGCAGGGTCAGGGTGGACTAAGCAGGGTCAAACACAAACACGTCATGATCATCATGTGCAAAAAGGCATGCGCATTCTTCACCGCTGCTTTGCTTGAGGTACCTCCCCAAAAGGGTTGGGTGGTTTCCCAATACCATAGGGGATCCTCAAGACTCTTCCTCAAGGCCTTTGGTGCAGCGGCAGCTAGCAAATTCGGGCCCATCAAAAGTGGTCTGAGGGGCCGTTAACATCCTCCAAGAAGAGAATCTCTACGTGAGAGCAGTTGAAACAGGCTGAACAGTGAACAGGGCTGGGCTGGAACCCATTCCCTCATGCATGTTTTCGTTCCCGGGACATTAGCAATATAGGCTGCTTGCGCAAGTGCGTTGCAACGGCCTTGTAAGCAACAAGCAAATTGGACACCAACAGTAACTCAGTCTCGCAGGCTCCATGTTTTGGGATTGTTTTGGTATCTTTTGATCCTCCCTCCTCAAAGGCACGAAGCTTTCACATCTTTCGCAGATCGCGGATCGCACCGTGTGTCGCCCATCTCTTTCGATGAAGCAACTCCGCCTTGAGGATGAATCCCTCGGGCAGCTGTCCGGGAAAACTTCGGCTTTCCTGGCGATGCTCGGCGGGTCGCGTAGGTCTCGCGTTTTGCCCGAGTGTGAGCTATACTGGGATTTGCTGTTAGAATGCTCAAATTTGCATTGACTATACATTCCAATATATATTTCTTTCTGCCAGCTGTGGGATCAACAGGTTTTACTCAAGAGATCCCAAGAGTAAGGTTAATCAATTATTGCAAAATACGAGGCTGCCAGTTTTGCATATGGAATTTTTGTTTTGACGAAACTTTCGAGCTCGACCGACATGGGCAGCATCGGGATTTCGAACCATTTCAAGGTGTCAAACCACCCGAAACGAGCACCTCGGATCGTGACACAAGGAAGTTCCGACCGTCATCTCCAAGGACCAAGCATGAAAAAAACAAACCATACAAAAGCTAATTCGTGCACAATCAATCCTTGTGCAAAGGCAATCCTCACTTTGAACTTACATATTTTTGTCTATTGCCTACGTAGAAGGCCTGCCGCATGTGACTAGCGATAACAGGTATTCGACATTAAGAATTAAATGGATGTACTTTGTCTTAAGATTTATCACGTGAACACAATGCAACTCGAATTCGGCCCCCCCAAAACATGGTCACCGTGGTTCGCTGATCCACCCGATCCCAAGCAATTGAACCCAATTCATTCACCACTTCAATGGCTACTCAACCCAATGTCGTGGTTCCATCTAGAACTACCTGAACCTTGGATCATGCCAAACAGCTGGTGCCCTCCGTTCCGCAGTGGGTCTTTCAATGTCTTTGTAAAAATTCTCGAGAAACCCTTCGGAGCTGAAGCAAATCCTGGGGTCATTTGGGACCAAGTTCGGACTCGGTGAACTGAGGATGAACTGGACCGGCTCGGAGGGAGCCCAAGTCCCCGCACCACCGTGTCGGCGGTCAACAAGTTCCCGTCGTAGAATCGCTGCGAAGGATACTGGCCTCGGCCAAAACGGGGTCTGGGAATCAATTGTTGGGGTAATCAATCCGAGAAAGCCACAGAATGTCAAGCGAACACGAGATTTCCAGTGTGTCCCCCCCCTTTTCATACTTTTTCAATCTTGTTACCGTGTCTTGTACCGTGTCTAGTATTGTCTAATAGTTGCACAAAAAACCTCTCACCCAAACGGATTGTGTAGTTGCCTTCTTCGATCATTCAGGACGCAAACCTGCACGTTGCAAACCCTACGATGCTGCGTTTGCTCCGGACGGACGCGCTGCAAACCGTATGTGTGAAGGCCACTCCCGACGCCACGTCTCCAACACTCGAAGAGCCGTCCATGGCTCCTTGCAAAGCAAGGGATCCATTCGATACTGCACCTGAAAGGAGAAGCGTTGTTCCATCGCTTCAAGAGCGAATGATTCAGGATCATACAGTAGTTCCGGATCGTCTAGATTCAATCGATGCACATCTTGATGTACAGCTGGCCACACTTTGAACTCTTCCAAAAGATCGTTGATTTCTTTGTCAGCTAGTTCTTTTAAATTTCACTGGGGAAAGCTGCTTTGGTGACATCCCGCCTGGGAAAGGAGGGTTGACGCTTGCAACACCTACTCTTCACCAACTGCTCACAAGAATCAGCGCCTGAAGCATATGCTGCTCTTCTTGCCTCTCCTGAAGGGCCTGCGAGCTGATGCAGTCGGCAAATGACCAAGCGATGCCACATGGGTCATTAAGGTAGAACTTCAGCCACCGGCTGTGCAGCAGCAACAGTAGCAAGCATTACCACAACCTTATGATGATGCACGCTAGCAAACCGTCACTATACGACTGCAGCAAGAGATCTACGAAACTATGTACCATGCCAGCTGTGCATCCCCTGATTTCGACGACCACGAGATCAACTAAACCTTCAACATGAACATCCTCAAGACTTTCGTCTCGGCTGGAGGATTTCGTTCAATCAATCTGGAAAGCTCGGAGCCATGAACGGGAAGGTGTTCTTTCAGAAGCCAATGAAGCGTCCTCTTGATGAAGCCCCCCTGTTCTAGAGAGAAGAGCTCTCTGCAGATCGGGGCGTCTTAGTCTTAGCCAGCTCTTTTAGCCGCCTCGAAGATGCTTCGTCGTTCCCTGGCAAAGGGCAGCAAGCATTGCAGCTCCTCAGGCCTCAACGACTTAGGATCGAAGCAAAAACGAAGCGGTGATCAATCATCCAGAAGAATCACATGTCAATGATAGCATATCATTAGCAGCCAGGGTCTTGGAGAACTGACTATATGTTTCTTTTCTAGCCTTGTTCAACTTGCTCCATGTGATTCTCATGTTTGAGATTTCAGTAGACACACGTCAAGACTGTACCGGGTACCGCTCGGCAACTGTGGCTTCAGCTCTGCTGTATCTTCTCCAACATGGCGAAACTCTAAACACAAAAGGTCAAAAGAACGGAATGGACAAACATATATCAAACATATATATATATATTATATATATATATATATGCGCACAGCTTTAAAGAACAATCCGCGATTGAAAAGAACCATCAGTACGGTTAACACTTCCTGGGTGAGAAGAACGTCCAATGGTATCTACTGATTCCAAGGCAAAATGTCGTCAAGATCGGTCAATAACTACACCTTCCCTTCTCCAAACACGGACGCTGCTTTTTGGTGGTGCGTCCCTCTCTCTCCAGGCAGCCCTGCTTTCCCGCGCTGAGACGGAGCGCTGAGGATCCCAGCGGACACTTCGAATGGCTTCCAAAGCTTGAAACTGGCCTGGAAGCCGCGCTGGAAGCGGGGCGAGAAACATCCACCATGGTCATTTGGGTGGGGTGCCGATGGTGTTTTTTCCACAAAACAACACTCCAATGAGTGATACAAATGAAACCAATGTAATTACTTAGAGGAAACACATAAAAGCCACACTCACGGCTCTGCTGTTTCCGCGGATGGAAGATACTCCGTTGTGGGCAGAAGACGTATGACCGCGCGACCGCGCCAGAAGCCCAGTCTGTTCCCGACCCTCTCCGTCTGAAACACCAACCGTTGATACAAAGCAACAACCCAGCCCAACCCTGGAACTATGGACCGTATGGACATCCCCCCAAAGCACGGAAAACATGTAGTTCCAAGCACCTACACAATCGTCGAGAAGCAAACATTGCATCTCAGTTGACTCGAATGTAGTTTCCCCTCCCTTTACCATGCGACTGCTGACACTCTTTGCATCTTGAAGTAACCACCGGCTTCAAAATCCAGTCCAAGTTTTAGCTGGTGCTTTGAAGGAAAAAAAACAAACCGCACCGTCCCCTGCCCAGTCCAGTGAAGGGAGCGCACCCAAGCTGCTTGGGATCTCCAATCAGTACCAGCCTCAGTGGATTTGGTCGCCGTGGATGACATGTGACCGCACGTGATCTGTGCGCACAAACACCTCATCGCCTCATCGCCACGTACCAACATACACAATTCCAACCTCTTCTGCATCATCTTCACCTACCCCACAACCTGGCGGCGTTTTCTCGTACCTGTAGTATGTACTGCTCAGGATAAAAACACAAAACGAAAGAAAACAAGAAAGAACAGGAGAACATGTTTGCTGCCGTCAACCCGTTGGTGATCTTGTTGCTGTGCGGTTCGAATCTTCTACCTTCCACCAATCCCAAACCCTTCCAAGGACCGGTGGATACCCCTGGAGTGAATTGCCCAACCAGGAAGTGTTCCTATCAGGGAATGAGATAAATATAAATACCGGTATACCCACACTCGACAAACCAAAACTAAGTTAAAGCACAGTGATGCTGGTTGCGGAAATTCCTATCCACCTGACTTAGGCGCCCGGTCTTCCTCACTTGTTGTGGCGCCTGGTCTGCCAAAACCCCGCGGCAACGATCAGATCCTCTGGGAACTCCGCTGCTCGCAGCCGCGGGTGAGCGCCACCAGTGCCTGGCGGCGGCCACAGTCCCGCTTGGCCAGTCGTCCACCTCGGACTAACGGCCCATGTCGCCTTGTTTTTGCTGGGATATTCTCTAAATGTAGATATGAGCGACCGGGGTATAAACGTTTGTCAGTCAGGCAACCTGCAAGGTCCTGGGCGATCATGGGCAAACGAAAGGGTAGCTGTTTACTGAAAGGGACTTGCAGATAATTTTTAATAGCTGAATGGGGTACCTGGAATTCCACTATATGATCTATATGGGGATGTTGTGTGATGGTTCATGAACTTCAGCAGGACAAAACCAAACATTTAAGCAACGTGCTCGGCTGACAGCTGCGATGGTCATCTGAGAGCTCCTTGGAAGCAGTGTGAGAGATGACAGTGACGAGAACACATGGTACTCCATGGTGCTCCTATTGCACATATGGACCCAAACCCGCTATCAGGTTGGAGGCCATCGCTACTAGGTTGGAGGCCATTGCTATTAGGATACAATTGGTACTCCGATTATCTCCTATTGCACATTCGAGCCAGATCGCCCATCCTCAACTTTCACTTCATTTTACACTTTGGGGCGAACTTGTTGGGTAGGCCCAAGGTGCGGCTCGGAAAGCTGGTATGCCATATTCTTGTGCAACGAATGTTCCACAAAAAAACTCTCATTCAGCTCTCATCGACACCCAGGAGCGACAAGGCATGACACTCCCTCACAGGGCGAGAATTACTCTCTGGGAAAACCAGTTGCAGCAACAAATGAGGAACCCATCGCATTGAACCTGTTCTACCCTCTGCGTCTGTTCCACTCCTTTGAACGCCTTTGGTCGTCCGAATCCGGCACCGCTTCTATCAGAATGATGCCTCAATACTCGCCCTGCTTTAACATTGCTGCATCCGGCATCAAAGGTCCCATTGACCTGTTCTACCCTGTGCCACCCACCTCCCTGCATGACACTCCCTAACATGGCATGTGTGGATATCAACCATAGTTAAATGTAATTAACACGTAAAAAAAACGTTATTCTATCATTATATGGTGGTTGTGCATTGAAAAACCTCGCCAGGTCATGATTTCCATTTATTTGCAGTTGAGCCATCTGCAATTCTGCGAACTTGAGGTCGGGGCTCATCGAGGAGAACTCGAGCATCTGTCCTGTGCCGAGCACAAAATACCGAGCTAGCGCGTTTTGTACCTGATGACATGGGAAACTAGTGGATCACCCTAAGACCTAAGATGTAATTACAAACAAATAGACACTCGGATTTCCTTCACCACTGGACAAATGAGTTCATCCTAGTTCATCTATCGTTTGACCTTGAATGCAAATCCACTGTGAACCGTCTCGTTCCAGCTGTCTTCGAAGCCACGCCTCTCGTCCGGCTCGGAGGCCATATAGACGGTCTCCACGAAGACGTCAGGATCCTCAGGAGCTTTCAAAGGTAGAAAGAAGGAGAAGAAGAAAGCACTGAACTCAGGCATCGCAGGACCAGTTGTTCTTTCTGGTTATGGCGTGAGCCGAGTTTCTCGCTCTCGGAACAGGTTGAAGAACATCTTGGGCCTTTGGATCCACTTCTTAAAGCCCCACGAAGGATCTACTGCCGCCACTACTGCTGCGAAATCAATGGAAGAGGAGAGTTGGCGTGTTTGTCAGGTGGTGTTTCTTGAAACAATCATGGGAGTGGAATGTAATTAGGCCACTGGAAGACCAATTGAAGTCATTTGAGGTCCACGTCAGCTTCCATGTTTGTTGGAGGGATGTATATAGTTCTCTTCTCCACCCACTTGTCTCGTCTGCCTCGGAAGCAGCTTCGCGTGGGCGATCTGCGCTCCGGTGTCTCCGAGATGGCAGGATCCTTGGGTGTCGGTCGCTGGGGCGCTGGCGATAGCAGTGCCTGTGGGATGCTTTACTTGAAGACATTTAAATACCGCTTGCTGGCGGGCTCACGTCCAAACAGTCAAGGCGAAAGCCAGGCTTCGCTGGTCCACATTTTTCATCTTCAAACCGAACCCACCTCAAACCGAGCAATGTTCGGAGCAGGGCTCTGACTGTGATTCAGCTATCTGACATCTGCTAACATCATGCTCTCCTTCACTGTCTTGTAGAGGACAATGAAGATTACATACCAGTTATTCCAATAGGAATGTTGACACCGTGCGTGCTTGATTGTTCTCAGGATTAGACAGACTCTATAAAGGGAGATTGCCTGGTGATATTTACCAATACAGTACATGACATAGTAATAATGGTGCCGCATTTTATCTGCTCCCATCAGGCCTGTGCACATGGATTGGTGCTTTGAAAACATCACAGGGCCTCCATTGCCTTTAACCAAAGCATGTCAAGAGATAGTAATCAAATGCCCAAACCACACTCTTGGCATTTTTGCTTCCAGGTTGCTGAATTACAGTAGATTCGCTGTAGGGATGTGGAGGAATGTCCCAACATCAACTCAATCCTTCAATTCTCCGATTCTGTTTCTTCCGAGTCCCCGTCCAATTTATGGCTGTGTGCCCCACTGGCGGCCCGGACCCTTTGGCTTTGAAGCGACGTTGCAGCACGTCCTGGTCTGAAGTCAGATCCCAAATGGTGACCTGGTCATTGTTTGTCACAGTAGGATACTCCATCCCTAAACCTCCAAGAACCTTCTGAGAAGGGGTTTGAACTGGGTGCCAGGAGTGTCCAAATATCTTTCCAGGAGGAGGTATTTGGAGCCCTAGGGCATGAAACTCCTGTTTCCAACTTGAATTTATGATGTTTAAGATTGTTTAAGCTCCAGCTGCTCCCAGAACCACCGGGAGCGGGGCTTGACCCAAAAATATGAAGTAGTTAACGCTGTTGGTCAAACTCTTGGGCGGAAACGTAACTGACTTTGCTCTTAAATCGGTTTGCACCAGATTTAGGATCTCCTTCCTCCATAGTTTTGACATGTTTTGACATCATTGTCAGCTGCAAAACATCCCAAGACCTTGAAGAAACCACGGACTTTCGAGATATTTGGGTCATGCCCTTGCTTCTTCGTTGGGCCACCTGAGTTTGGAAGCGAGACTTGCCAGTTTGAACTCGCCATGCTGTCTGCGCCATGGCCATGGATGCACGTCTAGGGTGAACCACCATGCCTCTTCCCACAACATTGGAGTAAATCTTCACTCCAAACGACCTGCTTCACATTGTTTCAATGGTTAATGATAGTAAACATTTCAGGCTATATACCAAGACTGACATGGCTTTGCGGTGGCTTGCCTGCAACCGCGACAACATGTTTCAACTTCTGGGTTAAGTACCTTCTGGGAAGGTGGGACTTGGGTGGGTGAAGGAGGGTCCAAAAACCTTCTCAGTCAGGAGGCACTTGGAGCCCTAGGGTGAATGACATCTCCTTACGGCGAGTCATCTTCTTTACCCAACCCCCGCTCCTTCGCGGCATGCGTTCCCGTCGCCACCAAGATGGACCTCTACACCGAGTCGGCTGCATCGAGGTCGGCGTCGGCGTGTCTTGGCCCATGGCCCAACCTGCTGGGTGTTGACCCGGGAGAGTCATAGAACGAACATGACACACCCAAACCAAGCATGTCAACCTGCCGCGTGGGGGCCACCTTGGGCCACCCAAACCAAGAATTCAGGCGGCAAACATCTGACACCAAACGGCGTATGCCGTGACTCGACTCTAGACAAGAAAAGCGCTGCTTGTTTCAACCGGCCCAATATACAGGTGTGTTGGTCAAGGAATATCTTTGGTACGGATCAACTTTAGATTTAAACCTTGGCACTCGGACGACACATGACGACACGCAATATGCATTCTGGAGTTGCGCCTATTCCGTACGAGTACTGCCAAGACGAAGCCCAACTCTCAGGCCCTCCACATCCGTCTACCACGCCAAATTTCAAGCTCTGACGGCAGAAACGACATTCTGCCTGAGCCGCACAAGCTGAGCACATGGCTAGCCCCACTGCCTTCTGTAGAAAGAAGAGGCGACCACAAATCTAGCCAAGGCCGCCTTGGTCCCCGTTTGCTTCCACGGAAACCAGGCTTTCCATGTGCAGTGCCTTCAGAGCGCCTGGTTCCTCACGCAACTCGCCAGCTGCCATTGCCCTCACCGCTGTTGGCTTTCCACATCCTTCCACCATGAAGCCCAGTTGTAAGATGTTATAAGATATAACCGCACTGTGACCAATGTTGTTCATGGCATGCTGCCATTTTCCCTGGATTGAAATTTTGCGATGTCCCCTTCGTTGTTCTTCCAGTGTCACCTTCATTGTTCTCCACAGGCTACGATGTCTGAAGAAAAGGCCGACCGTCCCTGCCAAAGACATCGTGGCCTGCTTGTGTACAACGAGTATCACAGTTGGCCTCAGGTTGGCCTGAGTGGCTGCCAGCATCTTCAGCCAAAGCAGTCAACATGAGCCAACACTTCCAGTAATCAATGCCACGTCCATCCACTTCCCCCTTTACAGCCTAGGCCTAGGCTGCGAAGAGCTTTTCCAAGAGAAACATGATGCACTTTGCTGCCTTCAAAACAAAAAAAAAAAACAAAGAAGAAAAGTCCGACCCTTCAGCCACTGACCGACTCGGACCGACCCCTTCCGACCTCGAATCCGTGACCGACTTTCGCCACTCTTCCACAATGGAGACCTCATGCACCGGGCTGGGCACCGGGCGGGCAGCTGGATGGGTGAAGAATGGGTTGAGTAGATGGCACAAAGGTCCAAGCTCGGTGGTCTAGATGAACCCCCATACCAGTGCCATCTATGCTGAAACCACATTATCTAGACGTTCTCTTGTTTGGACGGCAAAGCAACACTCATTACTGTAAACGTTCTTCCCAGACTCTGAGCAACGAACAACGAATCATTGCCTGGCCTGTTTGAGCAAAACCCTAGGTGCTCCCTCCATGCTCCATGTATTTTGGCCACCTGCTACGTGGAGGGATTTGAGACCTTGTGCAATTTGAGTACTTGGGCAACTACACTCTAAGCATTATTGAACTTTCTGAATGGTTCATCCTGCTATCATACATTCTTCCGGGTTCCCAAGTCTCCACAATCGAAGTAAACCAAAGCTTTCTTTTTCAAACCCTGTCTTGTCTAATATCTTCATTAATCTCTATAGATACCCAAGTCTTGCTGCATCAACCTCAAATTCTAACCCCCTGGTAGATCCTTTACACGGCTTCTTTGCTAAGTGCATCGTCCCACACGATTGCTAAGTTTCCGCGCATGTGCCGCAACTTTGGACATAAAAAAGCACATTGTGTCTTAAGAAGGTCATTTAGGTATTCTTTCATATTTAATTGCATGCTGTATTTCCGCAAACAGACATGACCTGTCTGGAACTGGAAGATTTGCACCCCTTGGTTGAAAAGGGGTCAATTGACTGGCAATAATGGCAATATGTCTTTCCTAAGCTAACTCTGTCGTTAGACTTAGACTCCTGTCCTTGTCCAATGGTTCCTCTTGTCTCGCACGTCCTTGCTCAGTGTCTCGTTTAATCAAAATGGATCCAAAGATTTGCTTCCTAGATCTTCCCCAAAACTCAGGCCACCACCGCCACATCACCTAGGGCAAGAACGTGGCCGTCTGGGGGCCGACATGGGGTTCAACGTTATCACGAACTTACTTACGACTACGCCTCACCTATTTTCGATTGCATAGTCATCGATTGTAGGTTGGAGGCCATCGCTATTAGGTTCCTTAAAGTCTTGTTCTTAAAGTTTTTTCCAGGGTCTAGAGCCACACGGCAGCCACAGGGCTTCGTCCAGTGTTGGAGACCTCTCCCGCCCGGTCACCGGCGTGGCCAAACGGATGGGTCCATGCCAGGTACCATATACATCCTTATACCAGAATTGGTTGTTAGGGTATCCACCTCTTCTATTCAGTCAACCGGTCGGGCGTAGGATTCAACCAACGGCCATCTATGTGTCTCATCCAAAGTGGTTGCCAGGCGGAAGAGCTGAGAAGATCACTTTCCACGAGGCCCGCAGCGAACCGGGATCCCGAGCTCTTCCCGGTGCCCGGTGGCCCCTGCACCTCGTCTTGTTCGAGCTCTTGGAGCGAACCAAATGGGTGGTTAAAAAGGTATGACCATGGTGTCAAGCCTCAAAACGACCAGCTGTCTAAGGCAATATTGACATGAACTAGGCAACTACTGGATCGACTTGGAACATCAAGAGGAACAGTACAAATGTCGGATCCGTGTGCACAAGGTAAACAGCAGGGCACTCAATGAGTTGAGACCCTGATGAATTGTTTGCATCCTTTTGAGGCTTCCTGCCAGAGTGAGCTGCTGGCAGCAAGCATGGGCCACAGCGGCTTTCTGCTGCTCGTTGAAGTGCTCCATGCCCAACTGGAGAAGGAAAGAGTCTAACAAGACTGAACACTTGATCCAACAGGACCTGTTGGCTAAAGGCTGCTTTGTGTACTGGTTCCACATTTTGTATATCAGGCAGCACACTATCCCTACACAGAGTGGCTGCCACTTGAGCCAAGCCCCAAGAATGGTAGAGTGTCTTCCACGAGGGCCCCTCGCATGTCACCAGCTCAAACTCAAATTGTATCATCTTTTATTGCAGGGACCAGTTCTGGGTGTTTGGACATTCTTGGGTGCTGGTCCAGCGAATCCACTCCAAAGAAGCAAGTATCCGAACGCTATGTGGGAAATGCAAATCACATTAAAGAAACAGCGTCTGATCGATCTACATCTGATGCACATCAAAAAGAAGTCTCAAAGGGTAGTGCAAATCAAAATATGGTAAAACCACAACACATCTGATAATGATCGAAACGAAGAGAACACATCTGATGCATCCACAAATCTGATCATCAAACATGGGAAAAGGCAATTGTCAATTGTCTGATAAACATCACAAGCCAAATGAACATCTCCGCTCCGCCGCGAACACGACCGGGCGCCTCCGCTGCTCCGGTGTCGACTGCCCTGGGAGCCTGGGGCAGTCGACAGGGGCTCCAGTGGCCGAAGAGAAAAACCATCAATATGATAATCATAAAAATGCATGGTGATAAACAAATTAAACAAACACATAACTGCAGAAAACAACATGTAATCAATAACACATTCACATACCAAAGAGATGTACAACCATTCTGGAGAAAGGGGTTTTATTCATCAGTCTACATAGCGCAGCAATGCAGCAATGTGTTGCAATCGGTTGCAATGGATGACAAAATGAACCTTTGCAAGCCATGTATCCATTGTCATGGTGCCATCTTCACATCGTCGAATCATGTTGAATCCTGTTGAATCTGTTCACCACCAAAGCATGCGTGGGGCCCCCAATTGCCACCTCTCCACCCGAAACCAACACCTTCCGAGGCCAACATCGGAAGAGGCATGGCGCGGACGCGGCCGCGAAGCCAACACCTTCGTTGTTGAGAGATTGGTTCAAGAAATTCTGCAGGGTGAAACCACTTCTTAGCCCCATTTCTTTGCAACTCATTGAAGTACCACTTCTTGGTACTTCTTGGCCCCAAGGGAAGTCGTCCCCCCCCCTTTCGTGGCCTGTTCCACGCTCGGCCCAAAGATCAAGGACTCCAAGAATGGTGTGACCTTCCTCAGCGCGGCAAACCATGCCCCGCTGAACGGACTGCTTTTCTACCAAAAGAGCTGATTGAGAACCAACAAAACAACAAAGCATCAACACATGCAGACCAATGACGGTGGACATCATGGTTGTCATGATCAACATCGCCAAGGGTCTTTATGGATTCCCGCTTCAAACACTCAACAACCCAACACGGAAAAAGAGACACAATAACATGATGCCGTTAGGATGATCTCCGCCCAAGTGCTCCTCCCGCTGACAGAGTGCGAGGATGGCCTGACGTAGTTTGAAAGATGGTCGAAACGGCGAACAAGAAAAACCGGATCGCTTGATGTGGAGATTTCGTGAGGTTCCAATATATGTGTCATCCGGTAGGACATGGGATCGTGGGGGTCTACTCATGGATGCATGCGTTCTTCATGCTCATGCTCTCAAGGCCTGGGGACTGGATTCATCCAACATGTTTGGAGGTTCCTGTGAATCATATTGCTTTATTAGACCATATTAAAGATCTATATGATCTATATGTCTATATAGCATCTACATAATACATATCAATTTCCAGTCCAAACAGTAGTGCTGCCAAAATAGAGCGATATGGACACCCCCCCCACGTTTCCTGGACCATGCTTCACATGTCAATCAGGTACCAGGGTACTCCAAGTTGAAGAGCCGGATCACTTCGCCAAAAGTTGCACATGTTGCGCCTGCCATTGATTGAAAAAAGTTCTACCAGGTGGTTTCACCTAGCCCCAGAGGGTCCCTTCACCAGCATGGCGCCACGCTCCACCTCGCCCACGACCGATAGCACGGACTGAAAGCGGCACCGACCTTGCTGCGGGTGTCCGATGGGGGGGGTGACCTTCTTCGATTTCTTGGCATTTGCAGCAAAAGGCCCAGTCATATCATCCAGTGAATACTTGCGAACGTCAGATCGCATGGAACTCCGGTTCGATTGGGTCATGGGTTCCCAGTTTCGGGGATGCGCCCTGTCCCCAAACATTCCATGCCTTGATCTGGCGGTCCAGCACCACTGGAAGGACTTCCACCGGCACCACCTGAGCGTTGAGCGAGCGGAGCGACCGTCCGGTGTGTTCGCGGTGGAAGAACGCTCATCGGTGTTGCAGATGCGCCCGGCGATCCAAGTCCATTTCCATCCATTTCCTCTGTGCCCATTTCCATCAAATTGTTGATGTTTCTTTCTCTCCCTCTCTCTATATATATCTATCTTTCTTGGATTGGCGACCATTTTGGAGGGTGGGCTGATGTGGCTCACCCAGCGACAGCCCGCGTCTACGACACGACGCGCGGGGCGGATCGATGTCTCTTCCTCCCCACCCGTGGCGCGTCGGGTCGATGAGAAGATCGCCTTGAAAACCATACCCTTCGTGAAGTTCGCAGGGTCTACATCGGCTAAGGGGTAGAGCCTCAACGGAGGCAGCAGGAGAAACTGGGAAGCCAGCATGAGAGATCTGTAGCGAGACACACACGCAGAATGTTGTTTGCACGTTATCAAACATGTAATTTAAATGTATTGTAATATATATATATATGTTTCTTTGGGCTTGGATGCTGACATGTGGATGCCCGCGGATGCCCTTCTCAAAGGGTCTGGCATGATCCACCTATACTGGGTTGCAAACTCAAGCTGATTGCTTGGGGAGGGCCTGGAGCCAGAGCTTCTGTGAAGATGAGGATGCAAAAGATTCTCAGATGGCTCCACGTCCAAGGTTCTTGAGGCTAGTGAAAGGACTACAGGGTGAGCCAGGGCTGGAGTCACAAGAAAGTGGGTGTCTTTGTTTCCATCGAAAGGGTGAACCGAACCTCAGAGAGTCGAATCGAAGAGGGGCGTCTTTCAACACATCGGTGCACGGAGTTTCGGCGAGTTCGGGCAGCATGGTGCCCACGGTGCCCCTGTCAGCTCCCTCCCACCGCTTTGCCTCGCCGAAAGCAGCCACACATCTGCCGAGAGAAGGAACACCGAGAGAAGGAACACCGAGTGGATCGGGGAGAGTGTTGATCCATCATCCATCCCCCACGTCTCTGACTCGTGACTCACAAACCATGGACATTTATGGACTTTCTGAATCTCTGCGAGGCACCACATGGCACCACCATGCACCAGCTTTGACCTCATTCTTTCACCAAGTGATCGTCTTTGTCCTTGTTTGGCTCTTCAAGTGGATGGAACGAAACGATGGGTGAAATTGAGATCAGTTTTGGCTGTTGCGTTGGGTCCCGATTGGCTGGTTCTCTTCACAACATGCTTCCCCAGCACTGGTTCACCTGGTTCACATCACGCAGTTCTCCCATCTTCGTCTTTGAACCCAGCTCCGCCCAGTTTCACGTTCTTTCGAAAGAACCACACCGCCCAACCAAGCCGCTTCCAACAGACGAAGCCCAGGTCGCCCACCGGATCGTTCGGGCGCCACCACCTTCTCCGAGACACCCAGCCTCGGTGAACCCGGGTGGACGGTGGTGGAGAAGGAAATCACTTGGAGCTGGGACCGTGTTTGATACAGGCACCATCAAGTTATCAAGCATATACTACAGTACGTGCTCAAAGTGAAGGAAAACTGAACCAGGAGCCGCAGTTGGGATGGTGAATCTGGACAGCCCGAACTAAGCTCTTATTTCTGGAATTCTGCCAGGGGAGCAGTTGGTTCTTGAAGAACCAAAAAGGCAACATGTGTAAACAATTGTGAACACTCACACCAGAGGATGGTTCATTGCATTCCACCCTTCTGCATGTTCCATGTGCCTGGCTTTTCCGCATGGGCTTGGCGGACACCTCTTCCATTCAGTGAAACGGGTCTCCCATGGTCTCCCTCAACGGTCCCAACGACCCTTTTCACGCGTGGGCAACTGGCACTCTTTGTTGGATGTTCAATGAGTTGGGACAAATCAACAGGCTGTGGGTCATGGCACCAGGATAGTTTGGATGACCTACCGACGTCAGGTCGTTCGCTACATGGACGAAAGCTCCAGGTTTTGACCCATCCCCACGTTGCACACATGTTCACGTCCCATGCCAGCGTCACATCATAGCAATGCGTCCGCCAGCGTCTCATGCCAGCCCACACGACTTTGTAGAAAAAGGCCTTTGAGGACTGGACATCCAGCTCTGGTGAATCCTGTCATGGAAGATGCACCACAGAAGGCTGGCGAACTGCAAAAGTGCCCTCACCAGGGCTCTTTAGGTGGTTTTAGGACTTAGGGCCTCAGGGCAGTTTAGACGTGCAAGGAAACGCCACTGTTTGGTGAACCCTGGTAGACCACTCTTGAACTCCGTTTGGTGTTCTAGTTAAACTTGGGCTTCCTCCCCCTTTGGCGGGTTAGCAAGCTGAAGTCCTGTTCTATGCAGGTTGCCCTATCACAAGTCTCATATCAATGGAGCTCACATAGACATCAGGAAACACAAGTAGCACATCTTGTTGCTGCCCGATTGACAAGTCCGATTAAAGTCATCAAAACACTGCTCAGCTAGGGGAACTCAAGAATATGTCCATTGCTCATCTCCCAGTCCCTGCCTTCCAAGATCCTCCACACCTGGGGCGACAATTTAAGAACATGACAACAATCAAAATACAAAATTGAACTTTTTCCAAACAATCCTCATGACAATCACCTGTTTCAACGTGGCTCTGTCACATAGATCTTAGGGCCTCGTGCATACAGAGGACGAGGAAATTGTGCAACTTGGCAACGGCAATGACTCTCCCACTTGAGCGGCAGCAGGAGTAGCAAAAAACAGCAAACAACAAGGACCATGAACTGCCAAACTCACTTATGAACCTACCCAAACCCATTACACCAAAAAAAACTATCAGTTGATATTCACCTGTCCAAACGCGAACATATATATTATATATGTTTGATTATGTAAATTATATGATATTATATGCTATTGTTTGATGGCAAGCAGGGCAAGAAGCAGCTCACATCGCACCAAAGCTCGCCATTCATGGTTAGACTCTTGGATTTGAAGGCTTGTCCGAACCTAGAGACCTAGAACTCTTTCACAACGGTGAACATCTCCCTCAATTGTCAATCTTTCATCCATACTGCTGGAATATGCTAGAATCCGCTCGTTGTGTTGTCATCAAGAACTAGAGCAAAGCTGGACACAGCTCGCAACAAGTGCCTGAATTATTGGATGAAACTGGATGAAACAAGAACCTGAGCTACACGTAGCACCTGGTTGTAATCCCCACTATATAAACCATCCATTTGGGGGGGCCTTGCTCACCTGTGATACTTGGTCTAAGTGGTCGACCCTGCGGGTCTAAGGTCCAGGCGATGGAGCACCAAGACCTGCGGTTTGGGATTTTACATCTGACCGTGAGACTTCATTTAGATATAGCGTTCAATGGATTTTATAGCGTTTATATGGTGATTGAAGATGTAGTTATATATATATATACACTTTATATATATAAGGTTTCAGCTGTACATATTCATTTGTGTGCTGGCCTGGGGTAGTGGGCAGTGATGGGCAGTGGGGTGGTCTATGCAAGAAGTTATCCACATGGGATCTCAGTTTTTTCATCTCAGTTTGCGCTTCTAAAGATTGCCAGTAGTCACGTTTGTTCAACTGACTGTGGGGATCCGAAATCCATCTAAATCCATGAACACCATGAGCTCAACCCTTTCCAAGTTTGCACAAATGCCTATATCAGTATATCAGTACAGCATCCTACACCGTGCCTGAAGAGATGCGTTTGCCATCCATTTTTAGGTACGAATGTCCCAAACATAGACCTTTAGATCAAGTCCATCTGTTTGCAGAAACATTTGGGATGCCAACTGCCTGCTGCTTTGGCTGAAAGCTGTTCCTGTCACAGATTCTTCCACTCTGTGACGATCAACATGTCAACATTCCCGTGTTGAAAACCACGCCTCGTGCTGACCAGCAGCCCCCCAGGATCCTCGCCTGGAGATCTTGTTGGTCTTAACAAGAAGCTACTAGGCGGTGGAGGCTCTCCAAGTTCTGGTTTATATAGAAGTCAAACTCTGAAGTTTCCTCCACCCCTTCAAAAAGTTCTTATCCCTGCTGTCTTCTTAAATGCGAACCCCAACATCTTGTGTGTTGATACTCTGTTTTGGGTATCATTGATACTTGGTTCTGGGTATCATTGATACTTGGATACTGGTATCAGGGTATCACTGACACTTGGTTCTGGGTATCATTGATACTTGGATACTGGTATCGGGGTATCATTGATACTTGGTTCTGGGTATCGTTGATACTTGGATTTTTGTTTCATTTATACTAGGTTGTGGGTATCGTTGATACTTGATACTGGTATCTGCGAAATAATTCGACATCTTTGAAGAATTTTGAACCTACACATAGAAACTCTGACCACCTCAACAATTATCCCCTTCATTCAATCCAAACAATGAAGTGAATTTTTAAGACCATAAACCACCCCCCTAACAACTCCCCAGAACACATCAAAACCAACGAACACACATTGAACCCCAACATAAAATCATAACAAGCAAGACACTAACAGATCCTCCCCAGAACCATCCTTTCACAATGTTTTTCGGGAGCTGCAGGGACGGCATGTTGTTGATCAACGGCGAGTTCGCTTTCGATGTCGACAGCTCGCCTGAAGGACCTTCAACATCGACACACTTGTTCTTAATTGGTAAGTTTTCAGGGGATACTGGCGCCAAAGAGCGGGAGGGGAAATCCCAAACTGTCACAGGGAGGAAGTTGGTCTCTCACTACTTGTCTCTATGGTGAGTTTGCTGCTCTGGGAAAAGTTGAAACCAAGTGTCTGCTCCGAGTCATGAAATCTTCCCAGCTGGTGCAGCTTAGGGCATTCACTCCGACTCAGAGTCATGAAGTTCATAACTCAGGCAGGACTTGAACATGCAAAAGGACTTGAACTCGGTGTTTCTTTGGGGAAGACCAAATCCTGGCCTGCAACCCGTCCTCATTCGCATCCCGAAAGCAGCACCTCTTTCTTGGGCCATTGCAGCGCATTCCACTTTGGAATGGTCGGCGTGCGCCCAAAAAAACATGGATCCCTCTATAGGGGAGGTCCCTTTTCCCCCCTGAGTCAATGAGGGTTGGGTGGGTTACTTCAGATTTTTGACTTCGAATTGCCCATTTGAATCCTTTTGACATGGGAGAAGCCGGGAATGACCTGAAGTCCACCCCCCTCAAAGGGATCCACCGTGTTCCTGGCTGCGCAAAGAGAGCTCCCCCCCATCTAAGATGCATATCGAAGGTCACCTCGATCGGTCACATTGGCGCCGAGCCAATACATCCTATAAGGTGTTCACTTGGCGCGGCACGCATGCTACCATTGTTACCATCCCACCCGATAAATTCATCGAAACTCGAGAAATCCGGAGAAACTTCCAAGGTCCCAATCACTTGGAACGACATTCGTCCACTGAAGGTTCGACCCTCCGCGAATGTCCAGGGGCACTTAACATGTCTGGGAGGCATATTCACATAGATGATCATAGATGTCTCCGTAACCCAAAGACATACACATGGCACGTTGAAGAATAGCGGTATGGTACTCAGTACGGTACATCGTGCGTGTTTCCTCACATCATATTATGACGCTCAAACATCTCAAACTCCAGCTACAAACAATTGGAAACTTTCTGGCGCTTCAGCTGTGCGGCTGTACCGGGATTGGTGGAACCCGAAATCGACATCGCTATCACTTCAAGGCCAACGACACAGTGCTCCCTTTTGGGATGATCATGGCTGATAGTGCAAGTCTTAGTGCTGTGGAGGCTTCAAAGGAAGAACATGGAAGAAACCACCACGCAAACGGATGTCCTATTGAGGGAACATGTTCCCACAGGGTTCCACCAGCTTCAAACACTCTGCTGAGGTCCATCCGCCCGTGGCGGCGACCGCACCGACTTGACACTCTTCGGTGCATCGACCCCTGTAGTCGATTCTTGTTTGATCCAAGCACTGAAAAAGACTGAACATATAGAGTTGAAACTTGATATGGGGATTCGCTTGTTCAAAGAAGATCCAAGGACTTGGCGACGTGACTATCAAAAAACTATGAATTAATGGGCTGAAGAGTGATATGCCTGGAAAACCGGATGGAATCGGGGATGTTCCAAATAGGGGATCGGTTGCCATGGATCGGTCTGAACTCCGGAGGGGTTCAGACCGCAGATGGGTCCCTGTGTGGGTCCTCCCACGAACATGGGGTTCTTAAAGAAGGACACAAGAGGTGTCTCAGACTGGGGGGGCAAGCCATAGACATGGTCAGGGGCGCCTGCTGTCTGGCAAGCATGTCGAAAAACCGTGGTTCGATGCATTTTCAGGGTCTCAACCAATGATGTTCTTTTGGAAACAATCGAGTGGATTGTTCAGGGGGGTCAGTTTGGTGGACCTATTGGCATGTATGCCCTGGCAGGTATGCCCTCGTTCGTGCCTTCCACAAAGTTCTATCTAGTAAACGGTGAATCGATGGTCTCAAGACTCAATCTGATTTTCCAAAGAATTCGCTACAAATGCTACAAAGCAACCACAGGGGCCTCGGAGACGGTCGTCAGGCTTGATCTGTCATTGGCTCCTGGCTTCGAGCGGAGTTTTTAGAAGGATTTGCAGGACATAGAACTCATTGTCTACTATAGGCGTATCTTTGGCTGGCAACATAGGTCAAGGGTTAGCTAGCGCCACAAGCCGATTGCTCTTCATCAATTGCTCTTCTCACAAACCAGAGCTTAATTTGACCTCTAGATTGACCCAGCTGATACCAAACCCAGACCAGTCTTCGGAGCAACAACGTTGCTCCAAAAAATTGGAGACATGCTAGATTTGGTACGAGTACAAATCCATACACTTTGCCAAGCAGCAATCTAGCAAGGCAGTACTTAAGGCCACACTGAGTTGACTGACTGAGCTTTTCACTGTTGGCTCTTCACCAGGCTGAACTTTGGCCTGACAACGAGAAAGGTATCGGATTCGTCGGAAGCGAGATGAAAAGTGCTTGATTCTCTACTGCTTTCTCTGTGTTTATGCAAGAAGCTTCTAGATTCTAGCTTTCATTGGAAGTCTTTGCCTTCCGTGAATATGTTCAATCGCTCCAATTTGACAGAAGGAAAACGGTAAACTCATGTCCATCGGTCAAAAGATGAGGTGCCAATGAGTCAACTGTTCGCCACTCGTCAAGCTTTCACCGGAGTTCCCTGCTCATTACAAGTTGGAGTGTCAGTGTGTCCCGTATTCCAATTGACATATGTGTTTATCTTTTATTAAATACAGGGAGTACCAGTTAGTCCTATTTATGGAGTTCACCAGGTGTCTTTTTGGACTCCTTTGGTGTACAAACATTGGATTGCCCCCATTGCGTTGAGTCACTCGACGGATCGCAACGACGCCCAGAGCGGCCATGAGGGTCATTCGGTGGATCGCTTGAAGGTGCTTGAGGCTACCAAGTCATGACAAGATGCTTCACAAGAAAGCAAAGAGTGCTCCAGTGGTGCGGCCTTTATTCTTGGCCATGCCATGATGGTCTCCAAATACGGCGCACCACACCATCCCACACGAGTGACTTAGCACCTGAATGTGTGAAGCTTGGGCGGGTTGCTGTCTTTATGGGTTTGGACAAATCAGCAATTCTCTATGTATCGTCCAAGGGTACCTGAGCATGGCGTCGACATCCCCCCGCCTCATCCAAGCGCTTGCTCAAGACGCGCTGAAGGGGCAACAGCGTAGAACCTCGGAAGGGCTGCACAAACAGGAACCGGCATGGATAGGCAGGGCAAGAAGGCATACTTAGCTTGATCAGTCCTATTGAAGGGAGTCTGTTGATCTTCTGGTCGAAATCAGATATGTGCTTGTGCATTCATGTGCGTCAAAATATAGGCACACATAAGCTGAAGCTGATTCAAATCTCCAAACACGCTTGGACCAGGGTTAAAACTCTCCCCTGAACATGAAGCATGATGCACTCTCTCACGCAATCGAAGTGCCGAAGTGCCTTTGTCCCAGGTTGGGTCTCTACGACGAGAAGCTTCACACATGAATCAATATTCATCAACAAAAGGAAGGCTGGTGCCGGCCAAAAGCTGTAATCATCAGTGAAGTCTAAGGCACACCCATGGTTTTAGTCTAAGCGATGGTGATGGGTGTCAGATGCTCACTATGCTCACTCTCCTCCTTCCAAATGTGGCCCAAATCACGAAGAAGTCTGCAGCCCGGACATGACAGTGACATCAGTGACATCCGACATGTCCACAGTTTCTACAATTCTATCAAGGTCACTGCTTCACTGTTCACAGCAACAGTTTCAACATATCCACAGTGACATCAGTGACATCAAGGTCTGTCCCAAAAAGGAAGTCGATCTCTTTTGCGGGAACTGTTCATCTTCACTTCGTTCTTGCGACGCTTAAAAAACAGCCGGACCCAGAGAACGCCAAACAGACCCCCAGCCGGGGGTAATCTGCCCTAATTACAGGAATCATGATTCTATATGATTCTCATGGCTCCAATTGGCTCCACTCCTTTAAGACAAGAAGCCATCTTTGTTCTTTTGCCCTGCTTGCCTGCTCGGTCGAACATGTACGGATCTCCAGGGCTCGGTAGAACCAGCGAACACCCAAACACGACAACTGGGTACTGCCTGGTTATTTGCCTACATTACATTGATCCTTCTTCATAGGCACCTATCATGTCCACCTATCATCTTACATGTCCACCTACATGTCCACCTATCATCCTCGGGTTACTCGGGTTTGGGCTTTGAGATGCGGCTGAAGATATGTTTGAGTCTCAGTTCACCTGTCAAACCCGAGACCCTCCCAGCAAGCTGCCGCGCCTCAAGCTGCTGCGAAGGTTGTGTGGAGTGATCTCTAAGCGTTGTGCGATGACCTCTTCGATTCGAGACTCCTCTTTCGAGCGCTCCAAGCTGTCAGCGGTGTGGGCAACACATCTACTTGACAAGGAGAGTGTGAAGGAGTATCCAGATGTGTTCCGTACCTACTTGATCGATCACTGTCAATGTATTCACTTGGCTTTCTGACTTGGCATTGGATGATTGTCACATGCACAGAACTGGATCCTTACTTTCTTCTCCACGAGCTGTAGCTAGCAACGTTCGTGATTGCCAGCAAGAATGCTTTACGTCTACAGGACACAAGTGAAGCATTCACACCATCTCAACAGTTCCAAACATCAGCCAAGCCTAGCATGGGTCTTTGCTTTGATTACGTTATGTTACGTTGCTTTAATGGGCTTTCTCCAAGGGTTGCATTATAGGCGCTCCTGCTTCACCAGCGTGCGCGCTGGTGGGCTGAGCACAGCTGCCGTCCTGAAAGGCTCTGAAAGGCTCTGAAAGGCTCCGATTCATCGGATGTAATACCACCAGGGCATCCTCCAGAAGCGTGTTGCTACTCTGGCAGCCTACATTTCGGGATGACCAATGATTTCCAGAGAAGTCCCGCAACATAGGAACCAGGCGCGTGGTGTTTGAGGATTGAGGACTTTGTCGAAAGCCCAGGACTCAATACATGGCGAGTTGAGTTTGACAGTTTGACTCAACTTGAACAACTTTCAAAGGAACATTATTATTGCATTCATTGGCCAAATGCTCTCTGCCCACCGGGAAGTTTGGAATACCCTCCTTTCAAGCCAGGCGTGGCGCCTTTGCCCATCATGCACCACAAGCACGGCGCAAAGCAGTTCTGACCCTTTGGTCAAGGACTCGGGTTCCAGAGTTGGGGGTTTCGAAAGGGGTGACGACTCAAAGTAAAAGCCGGGCTCCCTACTACAATAATGATGACATCCAAGTGTTGGGTGGTTGTCTGATATTGTCAGATTGTGCTCCGCACATTGACGAACCGTTTTAGAAGAATTACCGATCGTTGCTGCGAATGTCCTGCAAAAGAACTGCCAATGAAGTTTGGCTTACAAGTGCTCCACTCCCTCCCCAAAAGGCAACCTTTACTGACGAAATCCTGAAACGCCCAAAAACCGGATCCCAACCGCCTCTTTCGATGCCTCGACCGCCCCCAACTCCAGCTTCCAAGGCTCGGTGCCACGGATGTGAAGCCATCCCGTTCCACCACACCCGGTGCCGCGGCGGCCGCAGGTGCCGCGTCCCGTTCCGTGTTGGGGACCACGGCGGCTGGTGGGCGTGGAGACTCTAAGACCTGCGACCAGGTCCACCAGGTTTGGAACGAAACGAAGGGTAGGCAACTTGGACCCCTCTTCCACCCCAACTGATCCGTCATACGTCAATATGCCTAGTAGGCAACTTGGACATTCACCAACTATTATGTGGGCTTGGGGCCGCTGCCTAGCATGAGAAAACCACATCTGGTTGCAAACGGAAGAAAGCTGTGGTACATAGTTGACTCAGTTGACTCCACATGAGGTATCCTCCATTCAACAAACCAGCGAAGCATGTGAAGCGCTGTCCGGAATGATGTCCCAATGTCCGTCTTGCTTGTCTTCCAGAGTTGAGAGGTCACTGCTGCAAGGTGGGTGAAGTACGTAGTAGAGAAATACTTCCGACATCTCAAATCCCGTTACTCGGGCAAGTCTCCCACTGAACTACTCAAAATGAACACCGTTATAGGACCTAAGTCTCCTCAAACATTGAATGTTCTTACAGCTTTCTCCACCAATACAGAACCTCTTAGGATCTGCGAAACGCAGTCTGACTCCGGTCTACCCTCCAAGCAATCCAAATCCCGATCTTTGGGTCTCACTGGAGGGAACAAGCAGTCACAGGTGCATTCCGAGAACCACCTTCAGAAGTGGACCAACAAAAATAGCAGTTCAGATTCTGTTCTTCTGCAGTACTTCGATCGCAGAGTACTTCCATCCGGTTTCACCGCTCGGTTCCTTCCCCTCGGTTCCTCGGTGATGATGGGCGTTGGAACCTTCACTCGCCGGCCCAGTCCTGGGGCTTCAGCGTCGGGCTTGCGGCGGCTTTTTTCGGGACTCTGGAGGAATTCCGGGTGTTTTCATGCATGTTCTGATCTGAGCAATTCTTTGGTGTCAATGACCTTGAAGCTATTTTGCTTCGGCTTCCAAGGTTCCTTTCTGTTTCATCTATCCCCTTTGATCGATACTGTGATTGGAGAAGAAACAAGTAGTAAGCACAACATGCAGGCACCAACCCAAAGTTGTGGACATCAAATTGATAGCAACACCACTTTTCCGGAAGACAAATTGTTGACGAAATGTGCCATCATGTGCACTCCGTATACCCTGCAGCATCCTGCAACTAATAGTTGATAATAGTTGCATTTGCTCGTTTTTGCATAACATATATTCAGCACTTTGCCCGACGACAGTTGTTCGGATGCTTCGTGCATCTTCGTGCCACGGCCCAAGAAAATACGTCTCGCCTGTGGAGAAGCTCACAGGGCTTTCGCTGTCCTAAGAGAAGAGATGAACTCATTGAACGAAGCGGACACAAGGGACCAGTGAGAAGATGTAAACTAAGAGGATCCATTAACACCTTGAAGTCTGTCTTGATCGGTGATTGGTGGGATTTTGCAACAACTGCGTCTTGTGTGCATGGGCAACGTTTAGCTTAGAAGCTTGGACTCGGACCATTTATATTGACATATATATATATATATATAGAGTATATATTATATAATATAGATCTTCATGAAAAAAGGACATGATAGTCCAAATCTTAAAAATATTCCGGGTCACCCAAGGGTCGACACACAAAAAAAAGGTTGGGGAGACCAACCCGGCCGAGTGTCACAGCAGGTGTCGACTTCGGAGGGCAGTGCAGCATCTGCTTGTGCCTGCGACGAAGCTGAGGCGACCTGGTGAGGACCAGATCCAACCCATGCGACCTGTCTGGGACTATGTGCGACATCTTGACCGATCAGTTGGGGGGCATGAACGACTTGTCTGGGCAATGCACGACTCGATGGTGAGAAAATGCGGGTTGTATCAAAACATCGAACGTCCCTGTGACATCGGCTGAAGAGAGCACGCCAGAGCGCGCATCGCTGAAGCGATGTGGATTGTTCAAAGAACCTGCTTGCACATGTTGTGTCTAGCAAGGCTTCACACATAAGTCAGTTTTCACGCCTCTCCCTGCAAACAAACAAAAACAACAATTCAATCCTTTCCTTGGGTCAAACAGTACTTAGTACATCTTAGTACTTGCCATCGGTGATGGAGAGAACCAGCTCATCGAGTGAATGACATGGTCAGACTTGATTTCCTTAAGGTCAAAACCGTGCGTGATCCATCAGTGCTTGCGCACTCGCCATCTCAGTCGCACAAGTCGTGCGCCCCGAAGGACCATCGTGAAGTAACGAACCTCGAGGGACTGCACGTCCTCCGACGAAAAAATGAGCACAACAGACCCACATCACACCCACATCACAAGATCAGGATACATCAGGATACACCATCTCAACGGCTCCACAAAGAGGGTCAAGTTTGAATCCATCTGCTGACTGACCACTCGGGGTGGCCGACCTGGTCTTCTAAGCATGTTTCCAGGTTCAGATGGTTAGAAGACCATCACAACCTTCACATATATGGATCATATATGATCATATGGTCCATATATGGGTGTGTACCAATATAGGGAGACCTCCCAGTTCGAGCTTGGGAGGTCTCATTCATCACACCCCTATGGTTCCGTCCTGAACTGAAGCTACTCATCGCTTCGTTCGCGCAGTCCAACGAGGACGGGCCGTCGTGCCGAACGATGAAGGACGACACGGGCCGTCGTCGAGGCCAGGTGCCTTGTTCACCAAGCCAGCCAACTCGGCCTCCCAACGAGTCGCGTGAAATCAGCGCAAAAGCACATGTGTTCTTGGTTCTTGGTACTGTTCTTCCAGAGGCGAGGGAGATAGACATAGCAAATAATCGTGTTTTGCTCTGATGGCAAGATATACTTGGGAAGTAGATCTGCGCATTTATATTTCTTTGGTGGGATCAAGCTTTGATCTCTGCAAGCTGAGCTGTGCCAAACAAATTGGGGCTGGTTTGAAAGCTCCGGGCAGAATGCCGGTCATTCTCTGGTAGTGTTGTGTTGTTTCCTTCTAAGGTGAGTGTAGGGCTCAAATTCTTGCGCAGCTGAGAGGAAGAACTCCTCAAAATGCCCACCGCAACAGCCAACCTCCGGAAGCGGCTTGACTTGTGTGTAGGTCGGCATAGCTGTTGCTTCAAGAGTCTAATTACATAGCAGACCAAACAAGCAAAAGCACCAAACAAGACCAGGAGCAAGGACGGCCGCTGACAAGTTTCTTCTCATCAAAGCACTTGGAGATGGACACCACGCAAAAGTGTTGATATGTGATATGATGGATCAACTCTGGCACCAGCTCAGAACCATGAGAAGCTATAGAACCATAAGAACGGTCGTATGTCGTCTGGACCGGTCGACCGGTCTCTGAAAGCCTTGTTGAACCGCTCCGGATCCGGTGAAGCGTCGGTCCTCCGCAGCATCGCGGCGACCCGCGGTGAGGGCCAACTGAGCTTCGAACTTCTGAATCCTCGGCCCGAAACCGCCGAACACTGGGGGAACGAAGCGGACGTCGCGTTGGAAGCAGCGACGTCGCGGAGAGGAGGAGTCGTTTCTTTTTTTTTTGGGGGGGGGGGGGGTTCTGCACCCGGACAGGCTCTCAGAAAAGGACAGCAAGCACCAAGCCCACGAGAGTGAAGGTATTTACAGTAATTCTTCCTTGTACTCTTGAACTGTGAGTTCGGCCGGTTTGAGACATCCATGACAATATGTGGCCCAGGGTTTGCTTGGAGGGCGAACACCGAAAGCATCATCTAGAATCTTGGTTTGGCGGTTTGAAAATCTCATGGCAAAACAGTGGAACGTAATGCTACTGTAACATGCAAACTTCAGAAGCAAACTTATGATCTAGATAAAAAGGAGACTGCTGGTCGCCCTGATGTTCTGTGATAACACAGAATTGCGTGGATAGTTTAGTTGAGCCTTGTGGTGCTCCAAAAATCAAGGACGTCTCAGAATCATCTCTGGTGGAACAAAGAAGAACGCTGAAGATATCAACCCTTCTCTGACAAATCACAGAGAGCATCAGCATAAGCAATCACGATCACAAACTCACAAACTCTGTTTACACACAACCATCACAGTGGGTTTACTTCTATGGCACACCCCGAACCAGAAGGTGTGCGCATCAAGAACGCGCCCAACTGGTGAATCTGAATCAGACAACATGCGCCTAGTTTTAGTCAGCTTTCGTTGAATGCATTTGTACTGTACCGTGATACCGTGCGATGCTCTTTATCTACAGTCATCCTGGGAATATTATAGTACGTAACTTTCATGCATGCCTATGCTGCAACAACACATGGCTTACTTATGTATATATCCTTGCCCACTCGGCCTAGGACAAACTTAAACGCTCTGTCCCGGCCCAGCCTCTGCTTGATGACCGGAACCTTTCCAAGAATCCAGGGAACTCTAGCACCAGGAGCCTTTTTTTCTTTGTCCTATTTTACACCAACAGTTGAGGATAGGAATTGAACACCGAACAACTTTTTGGCATGACTCAAATCATGCAACAAAGGTGATACTGATGTATGAAGTTGTCGAAGAAAACCAGTCTTAAAAACTCAATCGGGGGGCTGCTACATTGAACAACCGCCATGATCATCCTCTCTTAACTGCGCGACCTCCTGGCAGACCAAAACCCACTGGTTTTATCTTCTGGTGAATGCAAACCTGTGATCTCTTCGGTCACTTCTTTCATGACTGGTTTTCCCAAGACACACGCACTGGCTGAGACAAGGGCATGATCCTCACTTTCAAGACGCGTTGGTCACATGGCATGGAACGGTGGACGTCAAGTCTAACCAATCTCCAACCTTTTCCGACCACGTTCGATCGATGCTGATGTCAGTGCCCAGGACCCCATTTGGATCATCTGAAAAGGGGGGCAACGAAAGCCAGGATGAACACGCAGGTGACGGAGAGGCGTTGGTGAGGAAAGGTTAGGAGGCTTCCTTGGAGCTCCGCACTATACACATGGAACCGGTTTTCGAGAGAAGAACGCTGTGAGGGCCCGTGTCTTTCTGTGTTTTTGTGTGTTTTTTACTATTTTTGGGCTTGTTACACAAAGGATATGAAGTCTGTAGTGAAACAGCTGGTGTTGCATCACATGTTCCAGCTTCAAAAAACACAAGAATTGAGAAGCAGCTGGTGTTGCATCACATGTTCCAAGCTACAAACACTTGATGAGAAGAGCAGGGGAAGCTGTTTGCATCAGAGGTTCCAGCCAGAGAGGGCTATGATTGATAACAGTAGTGAAGCAGTTGGTTTGCACTCACTGCCTTTGTTAGCCTGTTGAGGATTTATGGTTTGTTCATTGGCAACCTGCTCAAACAAACATCAAACATACTATATAGCCTAGTGAAAAGCACAGTACTTGTTCACATATGTATAAGAGTGGCTCAAATGTGCATTTGCAATACTTTTGTGTTTCACTTTGATTCAAATTTTTTCACCTGCAAAGAAGCAATGGAAAAAGGAGAGTATGGCACAAAGAGAAAGCCAGTTGAAAGCAAAAACTCTAAGACTGAGCTACAGGGATCAGCACCAAAAGCTTCAGAAGCTTCTTCTTCCAGGCCCCACAAGCTGCAAAGGCTTGATGGTTTGAAGAGAAAGCATCCTTTTGTAACACAAAGTGCTTTGAGCAGCCTGGTTTCTGAGTTCAAGAAAGAGGGTTTGCACCAGCTATCATCCAGGAAGCACCGAAGCTAAGAAGCTTGCCAGTTCAGGAGAAGCTTGTGGGCCTCTCATTGGAAAGGTGTCCCTGAGCTGTTGTGATGGTGAGTCCACCAGTCTCGAGGTTTGGCATTTCTAGCTCTGGCCTTTCAATCTGGGGGTGCACTATATGAGGGCTTGTGCAAAGCCATTGCAGCAGGGTGCGCTTATGATCAGCCTTTCAAACTGCTATTGTACTCAGATGAAATTGTGCCTGGAAACACATTAGGCCATTGCCTGGAAACACATTAGGCCATACTCTTTCCAGAAAGGTTTGGATGTTTTATGCATCCATTGTTGAACTTGGAGGGTCCAATTTGCAGAAAGAGATAGCGTGGCAATGTTTGTGCATCTGCAGAAGCAGCCTGGTCCCGGAGTCTCCCAAATTTTTGCAGCAATATTGAAGATGATTTTTTTGTGGAGACTTCAATCCTTCTGTTGGATTGACCTTGAAGGGCCCTGGTCAGCATCAAAAGCTGTTCCTCAGTTTTGTAGGAATGCTCCAGGATGGGGCAGCCAACAAGTTTGCATGGAGCATGAAGGGGGGATGCAGGATCTCGATTCTGCATCCTGTGCAAGAAACTCTTTGCCAAGAGCTCCTTGATCAAGATGGTGAAGAGATTCTTACAAGCTCCATGCATAAAGCCCAGGCTCTGAAATTTGCTTCCAACCAGGACGTCAAAAGCTCTATAGCTAGGCTTCAAAGGAAGAAACTTGAATACACACCTAAAGCTTTGAAAAGATTGGGAGCAGGCCTGTGGCTTTGTCTACCACAAAAAAGTCTTTGCTTCTAGACCCAGACTTGCAACATGTTTTGAGCCCAGCCAGCAACTTTGTGCATGACTGGATGCGTGCAATCCTGGCTAATGGCATCATGGCTACCGTTTTGACCCTTCTTCTGAAGACTTTGGAGGAGTCCAAGGAGTTTGATGCACATGATACTTTTGGCAACTAGCTGCAGCTCCACAGCTTGTTCAGCAAGAAGAGGAAGAAATCCAACCAAGAAGCAAATACATTCAAAGCTGGTCTTAGCGGTCTTTAGTGAAACAGCTGGTGTTGCATCACATGTCCCCGCATTAAAAACAGAAGAGTTGATGCTAAGAGTAGTGAAGCAGCTGATGTTGCATCACATGTTCCTAGTACAAACGCTTCATGAGAAGAGCAGGGGAAGCTGTTTGCATCACAGGTCCCAGCCACAGAAGCTATGGATGATAACAGTAGTGAAGCAGCTGGTGTTGCATCACATGTTCCAGAGACACTTGATGATACACCACCAGGGAAGGGTCTAGGGGGTTCCCAGTTGGGGTCAAGCCCCCCCCAAAAAATTAGAACAGAAAACAAGCAAGTCTATTTTTGTTTTTTTGCTCGACCCCCCGCCCCAGAGATCCCTCTCTTCCACCATAGTAAGAGGTCCTTGTTCCTTGCCTACATTGTATTATGGCACATAAGCTTGTATTTTTGTTTCGCAATTGCTTTAATAGCTAACAAAAATAAATATAGGAAAAGTAAAAAAGTATACATATAAAAAGTGATTTTATTGAAAACAACAGCTTTTTTAGAAACACTGAAAAACACAGGCCCCCACAGTGTGCCTTTCTGTTTTTTCGGTCATAGATGCAGACCAACAGTAGCCACGACAACAGAGGTTGGTCAATCCCCTTCGGAAAGCGGCAAGGCTTCACGGCCGGTGGCATTCAGACTGCACGTACTTCTATCTGGATGGAGTGCTCGCGTGTGTGTCTGCATCTATGTGCTTTCGTGGTCCGTCTGCCGCCCCGGTAACTTATATTCTTTGTGGTACTACCGGGGCGGTGCCCGAGAACACATCAGAACACCCATTGGTTGATCCTGGCAGACCCCCCCATGGGGCTGGCATATTTGCCTGCAATTGAATTCGATGCGAGCATAGTTTCCAGTCCCATGGGGTGTGGCTAGTGGGTAAACCACAACTTGCAGCATCTCATTGCTGTCACAAAAGGCGTTCCAGCAATGCAATATTTTTCCATAAAGCAGTGGCCTTGGGGAATCATAGAGCTAGTCTCCGCAAGTGACTGGTACGAGGCATGTTCTATATACAGATGTGTATGTACATTGAAGTACATAGTTCTTTCAGCCATGTTCAGTAAGCTGCTGCAACTCTTCCTATTACTGCTGTGGTGGGTACGGTTTCTTCTCGGACTGCTGTCCCCACTACTGCCAGCATTTGGCTTTTGTTACGCTTCATTATCCGCGGCAAGTGGCTTTTGTCATTGGTTCACTATCCGCGGCGTCTCCATATTTCTGCCATGTCGAAATCTCCAAGCAATGTATTGAAACTAAAAGCAGTGGTCTCGGGAAATCATAACGCTTGTCTCACCAAGCGACTGGTACAGGGCATGCTCTATAAATGGATATACATGATACGTACACAGTCATGTTTCAGCCATGTTCACATGTCAATAGACTGCCTTTGGTCTAGCTATGTGTACTACTCTCGGGTAGTACAATAATGCTAGTGATGCAAAACCTCCGCCACCAAGCCAAGGAAAATCACCTCCGTGGAAACGCAAAAGCACTAGCAGGCTAACATGCTTTATACATCGCTTTTTCACTGTCTCCCCCCCACCCCTGCCGATAACGAACTTCGTTCGCGCTAACTTCAGCCCAGCCCATCGGCTGGCTTTCGTACTCACGGGACCATCGTGGGACCACGGGCGTCTGCCACGAAGCGACGAAGCGAGAAATGAACGCTGCTGGAGCTTCGGTGAAGACCGGGCCTTCTCGCTGTCCTCCTTGACCTCCCGGGCAAAGTCCCGAGAGTCCTGAGATGGGCATGGATCTTTTTCGGCATTTCGGGCCGTTCGAAGCGCCAGGGAACAAGCTGCGCGGGCAAATGAGCGCGAGGGAAAAGCAAACAAACGTTGAGGGACTTTGGTGTTCGTAGTTAGTAGTCTTCCAAATGGACAGTCGCCATGCCAAAGTCCTGTCAGTCCATGGTCTCCTATACACTGAACGTTCTTTTTCAGAACCGGTGAAACTGAGCTGGCTTAAGTCTTCAAAACCGAAACAGGAACCAACTTGTGAAGTTGATACTGCAGGAGCATCCGGGCCAGTGCGGTCGATTTTCCTTGCTTGAAGGACCATCGAAACTCTTGATATGAAAAGAATCCAATACAGCACGGCACGTCATGCTTGAACGGTGAACATCCCCCCCTGGCAAAATAACACAGGTTCCAAAGCCTTGGATTGTCTCATTTGGAGAGTCAACTCAACGTGACTAAAAGTGCATCGCTGTATCCGGCAAATTGTTGCACACCTGGCCTGCACCACTTGCCGAAGGATGTGGTACATGGAGCGATTCAGCTTCCAAAGGTCCTAAGGTCAAAGGGGTACACGCCCAGCGTGCCACAAATCACGTCTTTGTGCAACAGTGCCTCAACCGTCTGACTTGAGGGCGCCCAGTCTTCAAGATTGAGCTTATAGCCGGTTTTTCAAACTGCAGCAAACATGCGCAAAACGTTCAGTAACGCAGTAATACATCCATTGAGAAAATTGATATGGTCAAAATGCAGGTTTGTGCAATTCCTTCAAGAGCATCTTCACAGTAGTTGCATATGACCAACAACAAGCAACCTTTCTTTAAAACCAAATTGAGGAGAGTATGCCTAACAAACTTAACCCAAATCACAAACTTAACCACAATCAACAGTTTAAACGACCTACCGTAGCTACCATAAAACTGGAACTATGCGGGGCAACACATGACTTGTGACATGACACCTGCACAAAGACACAAAGAGTGAAAGGGATTCGAACTTTTACGGCGAGTGGTAAGTTATTGACCGATAAAACCATGAGGAATATTACTTATGCCGCTTGTGCAAATTAAAAAACGTTCTCAATCACCGCCGAGGGTCTTGACCTTGTTTGCCGTTGCTTTGTTCCTGCAGCCAAGTGTTTCACGGAAATCTTAGGGTTTCTGAGAATCTATGTCATGTTTGAAGTCCCCATGTGTCGGCGGTTTGTCTATGATGGCATATAGCTACAGGAACTCACAGTGCTTCACAATACGAGAATCAGAATCAAGATTCTCCATCCTTACGCAGCCCTGTGTGCAATGGGCTTCCTGCAGCTTTCCTACTCTGCTCTATCCGGGCCAAAGGCCGGCATTGCCTCAGAAGCAACCAATTTCTGGGGCCTTCTTGGGCCAACGGTATTGGGACCCCAGCAAGCTGTAGGTTCCGGCGGCCAGCAGTGTTCGCCCTCGCTTCAACTATCAGCCAGGTTGTCCTTTGCATTGCAGCACATGTCAAAGCAATCTTCCCGGAAGATGGTTTCCATGTCACAGAACTCATGCGGCGTACAGTGCAAGAGATGCTGAAGGTCGTCACTTAATGTGTGGCTGATTGAAGTACGTTGAGAGCGGTCCTTGGTCTTATTCAGCTTTGACTCAAAGTTGCTGTAGCTGCTAGTAATACGACGAACCCTGCGGTTGAATTGAATCTTATTATTCCATGCTAATGTATTCAAAGCGTGTGCGCGACCGGCTGGTACCCCCTCCTCATTTACATGTGAGCCAAAAAAACAAGGTGCAAACCTCACCATGCATGCTAAGGTCGCCATGCGGATTCAATACTATATGTTGGTTCCCTCTCGGGTCACTGAATAACAATCCGGCTGCGCTGTGACTGAAACAGAATAACTGAACCTTCCACATGCATTTTTCCCCAAACAGGTTTACCTGTGAGGGGTTCTTACTCCTTTTAAAGGGGTGCATGCTCGGGCCGGATGATTTTGAGTCTGTCTCCGGGCTTGTGTTCCTGGCCGCATGATTACACCCTTGTCTCCCACTTGTCTCCCAGTAAGGTCCTGATGCCCCATTTGTCTCCCACTTGTCTCCCAGAAAGCTCTGGATGCTCTGAGTGCGCTGGCCGCATGATTTTATACTTGTCTCCCATTTGTCTCCCACTTGTCTCCCAGAAAGCTCTGGATGCTCTGAGTGCGCTGGCCGCATGATTTTATACTTGTCTCCAATTTGTCTCCCACTTGTCTCCCAGTAAGCTCTGGATGCTCCCGAGTCTCCCATTTGTCTCCCACTTGTCTCCCAGTAAACTCTGGATGCTCTAGTGCTCTGGCCGCATGATTTTCTACTTGTCTCCCATTTGTCTCCCATTTGTCTCCCAGTTGTCTCCCAGTAAGCTCTGGATGC